CAAATAATAATGAGTAGTTATTTATGATGCAAGGTGATTTGTAGATCAGTCAGTCAGCTGCAAAGTTGAACAAGCCCATAGTCTATCCATGGATCTCTATATATCAGTGGAGGCTGCTGAGGGGAGGACTGCTCATAATAATGGCCGGAATGGAGTATAAAGGCTGGAATGGAGTTAATGGATTGGTATCAAACACATGAACGTGTGTGTTTGATACCATTCCATTTACTCCATTCCAGCCATTATTATGAGCCGTCCTCACCTAAGCAGCCTCCACTGACATACTGTTTATCTATGGCTCTGCTGTGAATTAACATTTACATTTACGTCATTTAGCAGACGCTCTTATCCAGAGCGACTTACAAATTGGTGCATTCACCTTATAGCCAGTGGGATAACCACTTTACAATATGTATTTATTTTTTATTTATTTTTTGTGGGGTGGGGTAAGGGGGGGTAGAAGGATTACTTTATCCTGTCCCAGGTATTCCTTAAAGAGGTGGGGTTTCAAGTGTCTCCGGAAGGTGGTGAGTGACTCCGCTGTCCTGGCGTCGTAAGGGAGCTTGTTCCACCATTGGGGTGCCAGAGCAGCGAACAGTTTTGACTGGGCTGAGCGGGAACTGTGCTTCCGCAGAGGTAGGGGGACCAGCAGGCCAGAGGTGGATGAACGCAATGCCCTCGTTTGGGTGTAGGGACTGATCAGAGCCTGAAGGTACGGAGGTGCCGTTCCCCTCACAGCTCCGTAGGCAAGCACCATGGTCTTGTAGCAGATGCGAGCTTCAACTGGAAGCCAGTGGAGTGTGCGGAGGAGCGGGGTGACGTGAGATAACTTGGGAAGGTTGAACACCAGACGGGCTGCGGCATTCTGGATGAGTTGCAGGGGTTTAATGGCACAGGCAGGGAGCACAAATGTAGGTTATAACTTACCCCTAGTAGCTACTGTTAGCCAGCCAAGTGCAAAGCTAGCCACTGAATCGACTCAGCCAGTTCACGTCTGTTCGCTAGGTCGTTCCAGCCATTGTTTAGTAGCTACCCAGGTAGCAACAAGCTAGCTACATTTCAAGCACAGTAGCCACTTACTACCTAACGTTAACGCTTCAGACAATGAGGTTAGAAAAACAGCTGAATGGTAGGCATTATTGTATGTAATTATTGTAGGCAGCTAGCTGGCGTAATTACAGGCACTCTCAGGCGTGAAACAACTATCCACAGTTACTAATAGTTACCAGTAGCTACCCGCCAGCTAGTCCAGGTAGTGGGTTAGCTAGCTTCGTGCTTCACCGGGCTCAGCCGAATACAATACTAACCTACAATAATTACATACAACAACCCACGATAACTACCTACAATACCCAACTACAATCTAAATACATAGTTTAAGCTTTACTCGACAAAGCCCAAGCTATGTATATAAGCCATATAAGCCAAGCTTACCTCCCGCCAGAGAGAGAGACAACCTCACCCGACGACGACGACGACACTTTAACCATAACTCATTTATGCATTCTTACAGTATATTACTAATATCAGTATATTACTAATATAAGAAATTAAAAAATGATTTTCAGTTCTTATATTAGTGGGCTAGTTATGATACTTATGGTAGGAAATCCCACACAACGTCTATTTTCTGGTTTAACTTCTCCTTTTGGAGATGTGCTACACTGTGTTTCTTGTTGTTTCTCTGTTTTTTGGAACAGAGAGAGGAACAGAAGAGGGACATGTTTGAAACTTCACTGATTATGACGTGCAGGCCAGGAGTACTGCCATGTCATGTTGTGGCCACAGACAAATGTATCGTTTGAAAAAATGGTGCCAATTTCCTCTGAAAAATTGGCTGCACGGAAGAATTTGAAGTACAATGTTTTTTTAGTTTTTTTTTAGGCACCTTACATTTTGAAAAGTAATTCGATGCTGAAATTCATTGCATCTGGTTTGCGATGTTGAAGATCTGAAACGTGTCAATTCAACGAGATATATCAATCTTATGAACCCTTAACTATTCAAGAAGTGTTTACAAAGGTCATGAAACCATCTGACAGATGTTGCTGGATGAGATGAGTTTCCACACACTGTAAAGTAGGGGTGTAACGATCCATCTCCTACATCGATGTATCGATTTATATTCCTATGATCCAACTACATCGATCTGTGCTCGGCGAGTTGGCCTTTTGGACAACATATATCAATCTAACATCGTTTTAAAATGTAATAAATCGATTGTATCGATACTAGGAAATAACCCATTGGATTTAAGCACGTCAGACTTTATATGGATGTTTTTTCTTAGCACTTTTAATGATAAAGGCTTTAAACATTAATCGATTCAGTCTGCCTATCCGTGACGTCATCGCCCCGCGCCAGCAGCAGCGCAAAGGCGCAAAGACAACAAAACATAGCATGGCGGACGACAGAGGAGAAGCCGACGAGCGAGAAATTATCAAGCCACCATTGCGGTCCTTACAAGAAACAGGAATCTAGGAAACTTCACCTGCACTGTCCAGTATCCAGGTATTTATTTCAGTCACACTGGTTGAATTTTTGGCTAAAAGGTTACTGAATCGATTTCAAGTCACTGAATCGTTTCGGATCGTATCGTTCTAAATGAACCAATATCGTCCTTGAATCGTATCGACAACCACGAATCGTGATACAAATCGAATCGTTGTTAAAACGAATCGTTACACCCCTACTGTAAAGTTATTGGAGCATCTGGAAAACCGCTATATAAATCCAATCCATCGTTGTTGTTTTTGTGGTTTTCCCAAGAATTTCAGTGCCTTGTAAAGGTCACCTGCGAGATTCTGGAAACTCAAGAGTAAAGTATAGATGAATGTGTGTGTCTAAAAAGCGCTCTGTGAACTAGATGGCTAGACAGAAGGCATTTCTCTAGTCATCGATTATGTTTCCTCACACCCTGTCTCTCCATCGACTACTCTAACCTCATTGGAGGAGGAGATCCAAACTCCCTCCTCTTGGATCTTCTCCTCCAATGAGTTTTGAGGAGGCTAGGAAAAAAAGAGGGAAGTCTTCATTAGGAAAGAACCATACTGTTACATGTTTTTCTTTCTCCCAATCTTCCTTTGTAGTGTGTGTGTGTGTGTGTGTGTGTGTGTGTGTGTGTGTGGTGTTGTTCTGGCCATTACAGGTGTGCTGAGTTGCGGCTGACGATGGTGGGCGTGGCTTCGGTCCGGAGTCCTGGCAGCTGTGGTTGAGTGACTGATTGACTAGAGTATATAAACTGCTTGCCGTGTTGCTCGAGAGAGAGGGCACTTTTTGTTTGACTGTTTGAGGATTTGGTTATTTTTGATGTGTCTTTGGTTGTGTTCCAGCCTACCTGGGCCTAACCAGGTCATTTCCCCGGCTCCTCTCTGTCCGATCATGGGAGATATAATAAACTCCAGGACCCAGGTAGGGTGGAATACAGCAGGAGGACAGGCTGGTATGGTGTTGGCCTACGCCAGCAGCTCTACATGTACCAACAGAGATGTTAGGATAGGGCTCATGGATCACCACTATTTAGAAGCACGTAGACTTCTCCTGGAGTTAGATTGGTGAATTTCCATTCTGTCAAAACTCGCAACCTTTCGCACGAGAACTACTTACTCAAGAAGCACAGTCTATACCACCGATCCAGAACAACCAAGGCATTGTTTAACCCAGGGCGACATGTGGTTGTGTGACCTTTAGGTCTCAGAAAGGCAGTAGCGTTGCACTAGGGCCCAAATCAGACTTGAGATAAGTAGACTTAACTAAAATATTTTAGTTAAGTCCATATTAAGTCAACGTAGTCACTTCACTATGAACACTGAGGAAATATCCGATTTTGTACACTGACCTGTTAGTAAACCTTTGACGTCAAAAGGTGAGTAGCTTGTGGGAATTTCAAGTATTCTACACTTTGACTCACCTATTCTATACTCAAGGATGAGCCAAATTAACCATATTTTAGACAGCACCTGTAATGATGTCATGTCATCGTATCGTGGGGACCAGGTTAGAGTTACGAGATCATTGGCTTGGTTCCATATTCCGTTATGTCAAAAGGAGATTACTGATGTTTAGGATAGCATGATGGATGGACAGGATATACTGACTTGGGGTAAAGGGTAATAACATCAGAAGAATGCGAGTGCTCATTGACGATGGCCAGATGGGGGGGGTTGAAGAAATGTGTAACCAAGAGTATAAAAGTTGTGAGGTGTTCAACTGCCAATGGGGCAAGGCTATGTCCGTTTGTTAGATGAACCCACAAGCTCGTGATCCAATAAACACTTGGTATAAAATCTCCACAGAATGTCTAAGTAAATTCTAGAAACTCATAACACCTCGGTATAGTTATCCAGCTGAAGAAAAAAGGCCAAATCTTTTAAAAATAAGTGAATGTTTATTTTTTGAAAAACGTTAGTTACATTTGACACATTTTAGTCATTTAGCAGACGCTCTTATCCAGAGCGACTTACAGTTAGTGAGTGCATACATTTTCATACACTATATACACACACACATACAAAACACACCCACAAATAACTATGGTACATAGAACCATAATAGCGACACGGTGAAAGATCATGTGCATGTAGCCCAGTCACATCCTTCAGTTATACATTGTATTCACGTTAATCTCACTCTATCCAAAAGGCACGCTCATACACAAATTATGTGCACACACGCAAAAATCGACATTCACTCACACGCAAGCAGACAAATACTGCAGCTCACAAATAGGGAATTATTCAAACAATGTAACGTGCTTCAGTACAGGGTGTACTTGGGGTTGATAAATAAGCTTGGTCTTGCAGTGCTTCCATTCTTCATAAATTAATATAAAAATATACAGTAAAGAGACTAGGTTTGTTGGGGGGGGAACGTCCGATGGATAACACATATTTAACACTATTTTTCTAAATCCGAGTTGACCGCCCGTCTGCACAAAGAAACGCTCTGCGAATCCTCAGACAGTCCTGACAGACAGCACACTAAGGCCCGTCCCCCCCCCCCCCCACTGCCAGCACGTGCAGCGCCTCCCCGCAGTCCCATTTGACAGAGCCCAGAGTCATGTGACCACAAGTAAACCGTCCAGGTGCTCAGACGAAGAGAAGGCGGTTCTTACTGCCATTCCTTCCACCTTCAGGTCCCCATGGTGACAGCGCATTGAAGTGCTGAATCCTTATATGTGCAATCTGTCAATCAAAGCATGAAGAACAGTCAATATACATGATTGACAATACATCTACAGACAGACAGTCTCAGGACGTTGTCGAATGGTTTAAAGTAATTCAAATCTAATAAGACTCCCGAGTGGCGCAGTGGTCTAAGGCGCCGCATCGCAGCGCTAGGCTGTGCCACTAGAGATCCTGGTTCGAATCCAGGCTCTGTCGTAGCCGGCCGCGACCGGGAGACCCATGGGGCGGTGCACAATTGGCCCAGCGTCGTCCAGTTTAGGGGAGGGAATGGCCGGCAAGGGATGTAGCTCAGTTGGTAGAGCATGGTTTTTGCAACGCCAGGGTTGTGGGTTTGATTCCCACTAGGGGCCAGTATGAAAAACTCACTAACTGTAAGTCGCTCTGGATAAGAGCGTCTGCTAAAATGACTAAAATGTAAAAAAATGAAAAATGTAAGACACCGTTGGAGAATTCAACACCATTTGAGTGGGCTGGGCTGTACCTTTTCCTACTGGGTTTGACCTCCCAGCCGTCGCGACACTTGACGTATGTGATCCCCTGTCCTGGAATGAGCTCAGTCACTGAGGGGTCCTGGGCACAGAATGTGAACCTACACAAGCACAAAACAAGGAAAACGGGTCAATACGAGAAGTGTAAGACAACACAAAAAGGCAAAGACCAAGAGACTTGACTTAATATTCCAGCGCAACCGAGTCCCAGTTCATAAAGGTATATTTGACTATAATGACAATGTCCTGGTTTATGAGCGTATTATCAAATCAATGATGGCTGACTCCGCTTGGTGAACCACCCAGTGGAATATAACTAGTATTACAAAAACAAAATGGCTGCCGCTGTTCTCCCACCCCAACTTACTTCTTCTGAGTTTCTCCACACTTGACACGGATCCTGCGGACCTCCAACACCTGGTTGGTGGGCGTGCTGCTGCTCTTCCAGTCCCAGAAGTTCTTCTTAATGTTTTTCCAGAAGGACCCGAAGGACTCAGACGCCCCCTCCCAGCTCAGACGGATCTTCAGCAGGTCCCCGATGTCGTCCTCGGTGAAGACCAGGAAGGTATTGGTCAGGTTCAGACCCACCTTGTTAGGACTGGAGAGACACACAAAGGGTCAACCACAGGTCGTCTACATACAGTAAATAGTCTTCACTTATTTGCTATTAAAGTGAGAAGTTCGGGCTGGATCAAAAAAAGCCACAAGACCACAAATTCAAAATGAGCAGCACCACAATCCTAACGTCACCCATTCAGTACAGAGGTTTTTCTCAGCACACAGCCATGAGACCTAGTACAAGTAGAAATGTTGGCGCAATAGTACTACTCAAGTCTTTTCATCGTTTCTTTATACTGGGTTAGGTATAGTATAGGGTACTATGTAGTACAGCAGTGCTCACATGTCCACATGCAGGTCGTGGCTGTCGTTGTGAGCGCCATACAGCTTCACGTAGAAGGTCGGGTCAGCATCGTCGGCCTGCTTTCTGTTGAACACATGCATCTTCATCTGGTAATGGATGCCTAGGAGGGAAAAACAGAGCCAAGAGGGTCAATAGCAGTTATCAACACTAGGGGCAAGAGCTAAGCGCACACAGGAGATTACAGTAGCATTTATGACTGCAAGGTGCGTCATAAAACAAAGGTTTAGAGATATCAGCATTTGACCAGCGATAAGAAAAGGTGTTATAGCAACAGATGTAGAATTACCTGCAGGAGGATTTAACCCTGAGCCAACTAGTAAGTTATTAAGAAAAAAAAGCACAAAAACTTAACCTGTTTTTTTCTCTCCCAGTTATAGTGTTGGAACCACTAAACTAACCAATCACAGGGCTACAGAACACAGCTCACCTCCGAAGGGTGTGTCGGCGCGGGTCTTCAGGTACATCTTGCTGTTACGCCTCTTCCTCGTCTTCTTGGCGTTGTAACCCATCTGGTTACAGCGGTTCTTACGGCAGCTCAGGCAGATGCCCTTCTTGAAGCGTTCAGGGTCTGTGCACTGGTAGGCAAAGCTTGTGTGTGCCTTGCTGATCAGAGAGTCTACAAACAGGTGTACAGCTCGCTCGTGCTCACACTTCATCACATCCATGAAATCTGAGGAGAGAAGAACAGTCAGATTAACTCACCACAACAGCAAAACCAGTACAGCACCGTGTCCAAGTTAAGGTTACAGAATTCCCAGAGTTTCAGAAATCTTGTTTGGAGGATTTCTGGAACCAGAAGGGAATGTATTACAAGATAATCCTCCAAATGAGATTTCTAAAAAAAACACTGAATTTGGGAAAGTTTCAGAAATGTTGGTCTCGGCGACTACTCCCCGCGTCTCTCGGCGACTACTCCCCGCGGTCTCTCGGCGACTACTCCCCGCGTCTCTCCTCGGCGGACTACTCCCGCCGTCTCTCGGCGACTACTCCCCGCGTCTCTCGGCGACTACTCCCCGCGTCTCTCGGCGACTACTCCCCGCGTCTCTCGGCGACTACTCCCCGCGTCTCTCGGCGACTACTCCCGCGTCTCTCGGCGACTACTCCCCGCGTCTCTCGGCGACTACTCCCCGTGTGTGGGTACTCACTTCCTCCGGCGGCGCTGGTCAGCACGCTGGTCAGGTCACAGCCCGGCTGCACGTCTCCTCCGTTGGGGTAGATGTCGATGTCTCCGATGGGCTGCTGGATCCCGATGCTCACTCCCAGCGCCTCGCGCGTGTACGTATGCAGGACGTCCACAAAGTCAGCGTCGTCCGAAGAGAGGCGCTTCTCATCCCCCACCCCCTCAAACATGGGCCCTGCCGGGTCTAGACCTATAGGAGAGATGGGAGAAACAGGAACGTCTCATTTGGTGGACAAGAGAGGGGTGTGTCTAAAAGCTATAGGCATACATCTTCTGCAGTCAATACACCGTGACCATTGGCATCTTCTGCAGTCAATACACCGTGACCATTGGCATCTTAACACATCAGTCACTCCATAATGACATATTGATGCTCGTTAGATATTTGACTATATGGAGCATTACCCTAAAGGGTACTTGTTTCCTACTGGACTAGTACGGAGTTTGATTTACAGGAGCTTGGCACCGTTCCAAAGGTTCATACAGTTTCCTGTGAGGAGCAACAGTGAGTGAGGTCATATCCTGCCGCCACTTACCCGTGATCCGGCCGACGCTCCCTCGCACGAACGTGCCGGCGTAGCCCGCTACATGAGCCCCCAAGCTGTAGCCAATCAGATGCACATTCTGCAAGGGCAGCTGCTGTTCCTCCTATCGGATACAAGACAAACCACACACATCAGCTGCTACACTCTCCCCTCCCCCAAACTCACTGAACAAGACCTGGCCCTCGGCCAATAGCAGTCAGTCATTCCCTGGGCACCAGCCAATCCCAGTGGAGATAATGAGGGAAGAATACGTTCACGCTGTTCATGCCATGCAACAGCACCTCCACCTTCTGCCTCTGCTGGTCTCGGTCTACTCCCCTAACCACAGCCTGAACCATGGGCTTGAGTGTCAGTGTCCTGGCCTGGTTCAGGGGACAGAGCCTGGCCTGAATGGGACACGTCCCAATACTGTTAAATAGCCTCCTTTCCCTCAATCATCCATCTGAAATAGACTAGATGGGTAGAAAGGAAAGCAGTATGGTGCATTTGAACTACACCCAGTCTCTGCTCTTAGTGGAAGTAAATTCACGAATGAGGGGAGAGGACTGCGAACGCAGCCATTGGCTCTTGTGGAGAGCGATTCCCATCGCAAACTAGACAGAGGACAACTCTTCCTCAAGAGCGTCTGCCGAGTCCCTCCCGACCGACCAAATGGAAACGACAGTATACCCAGAACTCCCGTTTGGGATTCTAGAATCCCAGAGTTCCCACCCACACCTGCAAAGGATGCCAACGGCTTCCCAGCTGTTCTGTTGCTAAGGGAAACCCCCTCTAGCCAGCTGGTGGGACTGCAAGGGTGTACGGCTGCTCAGCGGTGTGCTAACACACTGGACTCCACGTGTCCTGGATCCATCTCCGCTCGCTAAGCTACTGGAGACAGTCCTGTCCTCTGTCAGTATGTGTCAGCCTAGAGATCAATGTATACAACAGCCCTATGCACCAATACTCCTGGCCAATAGAAGACACCACTGAACTATCAAATAAATTCAAATCAAAATCACACACCTGGAGCCAGTTGATGGTGGTGGCGACGCTGAGGCCGACTTGGTGGGTGTGGTTTACAGCGTCGGGGTAGAGCTGGTGGGCCATGGGCAACCAATCAACGATGACTACGTTGGCCTCCGGCTCTCGCTGCATCATGGCCGCCACTAGCTTCCGCATCCAACTCTCAAACATCCCGCTCATCTGGGGTGGGGGGGGTAAGTCAGCGATCCTCAAACTTTCTGTCTTCAACCCATCGCGTGCACACACACACACACACACCAGTGACCCCCTCAAACCCCTTTCTGAAAACACAGACACATCAAAGCCTCACTGAAGCAAAGTGTGTGAAGGCAGTCTATAAAAGGGAGAGAGGAGTGTCTGTTTTACCGTCCAGCCGTGGATAATAAAGATGGTCTTGGCTGTGACGTTGAAGCCACACTCCTGCAGACTCCACTTCTCACCAGGCAGCAGGATGCAGCCGTCCACGTCTAGATCCAGGCTCTTCCTCATGTTGTATGTGATCCTGTCATGGAGCGCCTCATCATCACTGTGTAGCACTTTAAACTCCTCATCTGAGAAAGAGAGCGAACGAGAGAGAAGAGGAGGGGGGGGGGGGGGGGGGGGGAGAGAGATGAAGGGGGGGAGAAAGAGAAGGGAAGAGGGGGGGGGGGGGGGGGGGGGGGGGAGAAGGGAAGAGGGACATTAGGATGAGCATCATCTCTAGGTGCACCTCAAAGTGTTGTCCTTGATTCTTCTTCCTCCATACACTGCACCAGACTGGTGAACACAATATAGTGAATCCCTATCAACGGCAGGTAGCTTAGTGGTTAAGAGCGTTGTGCCAGTAACCGAAAGGTCGCTGGTTCTAATCCCTGAGCCGACTAGGTGAAAAAAATCTGTCGATGTGCCCTTGAGCAAGGCCCTTAACCCTAATTGCTCCTGTAAGTGGCTCTGGATAAGAGCGTCTGCTAAGTGACTAAAATGTAAACATCTTTGCTTTTCCCATCCCACGTTTTTGATCATCTAGGCCAGGGATGGGCAACTGGCGGCCTTTGGTAGGCCCGCCGCACATCAATTCAGTGTAGTGCAGATGGGAGGAGAAGAGTAAGGAGAAGAAGCTGTTGCTGAAAAGCAACTATTTCTGTGGACAACGCCCTGAATTCACCTGCTAATACAGTACAGACAGTGTAGCCTATACAATTTAGCCACGTAGGCCATACTGCCGCGACGATATCTAAAAATCACACACACTGCTGCTGCTCCTACTGTTTATTATCTATCCTGATTGCCTAGTCACTTTTACCCCTACCTACATTATAACTCTAACTCATACCCCTGCACGTTCACTAGGTACCAGTCTGTCTAGTCCTTGTGTGTGTGTGTGTGTGTGTGTGTGTGTGTGTGTGTATATATATATATATATATAGTGTCCTTATTGTTATTTTATCATACATTTCCTTTTTCTTAATGTTTAACTCTGCATTGTTAAGAAAGGGCCCGTAAGTAAGCGTTTCACGGTAGTCTACACTTGTTAAATTCGGCGCGTGTGAATTGCTCCTGTGCGCCTTCCTGCCCCTGTCCCGCGAACACATTTCGGCAGTCCAGAACTCTCCACACTTTCTGTTTTATGTCGTACACCTGTCGTGCTCGTACTGACACGCTTTCACACGAACACTCAAGATATTTGCAGAGTCAAAAATATATATGTTTTACCGGACTACCGGCGTCTCAACAAAGCAAATTTGCCTACAGTGTTAATTCCGTTCCTCTCTCGCACCTACCTGGGCTTGAACCAAGATCCCTCTGCACACATCGACAACGGTTCCCCCTCGCAGCACAGTTACCCGTCACGCCACAAAATCCGTAGGCGTCGCGGGATCTGGGAAACACCTCCTTAAAGGTCTCAGAGCGTGACGTCACCTGATTGAAACGCTCCTAACGCGCGTTGATAACTAGCTGGCCGTTTCACACCGGTTACATGTAGTCAGGCGGGTCATTTACCAATCACATGGAAAATATTTATACAACTTTGTTACGACTGGCACATGAGCATAAATTCCTCTTAGTTAGGAACAGAACAGGATCAAGTGGAATCCTGTGGACATTCTATAAAATTGCTTTAATGTAGAAATGTAAAGACATTTAAAGAGGGTCTAAATTCAAAATGTTGAATTCTGATTGATTGCTTAGGGCTACTTTTAAAATAGGCTCGCAGCACACTGACTGGGCTCTCAGCAAAACGCGGATTTAGCTGATATTCTCCTTTCCACATGAAACAGGAGACGTGGCGTCTTGTCCGGGTTTTGCTCCCCATGGTTACCCCTTCCTAAAGACACGTTTTCAACTCACGCTAAAACTGCTTAGAGTCATTGACCCTTTCCTCATGGCGTCTCTCCTTTAAGACGCAAATAAATTCCAGTGGGTAGTTTAGCCTATTATTGAAAATGTAGGGCAGGCTATCCGAATCTGGTGTTAAAAAGGGTAAATGAAATAGTTTCTCTGTGATTAGATTGGATATCCTTTTACCTTTGAAAACTGCGTTCTCTCCCGACACAAAGACTGTAACTGCACAAAGTACGAAAATCCACAACGAAAGAGTGATATTTGTCATTTCTTTCTCACTCAAAAAAATGTGAAGCCCGTCGTTGTTTCGATAAGAACTGGAACTTTCACAGTTGGTGGTGTTTGTCAGAGAACCTGTCCAACCGTCCAAGTATCAATGAAAAGCCGGCGGCAGTGTTCCGTCTACGCGTAACACCGGTAGCAGCAGAGTGAATGTATGAACCTGCGTCAAGTTTCTCATCACATATTTAAATAGTTTCTCCTTTAGTCATCTGATCATCGGCAGATCGCTACGTGGGAATTCTAGGCTTGTAATTGGTCAAGCCTCCATTTGTTTACGTTTAAAGGCGTGGCAAAGAAAGGATGAATGAATTTGTAGTACCTTATCTACAACGCTTTGACGAGCTGTGGGATCTGCACCTATATGGTTCCGAATATTGGGACAGTGAGTACATTACTAGCATGGAAGACAAATGCCAATATCTCGGTCACAACTTGTCATAACCTGTAGGCATCACGCAGCAGCTATTGTCTCTAAATCTTCAAGTCAAAACGGGACCTTCCTTTGGCATTTACCCCATAGTAACCCCTCACACTTATAGAGGCTACCTTTGACAGTCAAAACAGAGAGAGAGAGAGAGAAGAAGGTCGATTTTTTTTGTTGTGTTTCAGAGACCAAACGTTATTCGTCTAATTGTGATTATGAATTATTACACTGAACAAAAATATAAACGCAACATGTAAAGTGTTGGTCCCATGTTTCATGAGCTGAAATAAAACATTCCACAAATGTTCCATATGTACAAAAAACGTATTTCTCTCAATTGTTGTGCACAAATTAGTTTACATCCCTGTTAGTGAGCATTTCTCCTTTGCCAAGATAATCCATCCACCTGACAGGTGTGGCATATCAAGAAGATAATTAAACAGCATGATCATTACACAGGTGCACCTTGTGCTGGGGACAATAAAAGGCCACTTTAAAATGTGAAGTTTTATCACACAATACAACGCCGCAGATGTCTCAAGTTTTGAGGGAGCATGCAACTGAAATGCTGACTGCAGGAATGTCCACCAGAGCTGTTGCCAGATAATTGAATATTCATAAGCTGCCTCCAACGTCGTTTTAGAGAATGTCAGTATGTCCAACTGGCCTCACAACCGTAGACCACTTGTAACCATGTCAGCCCAGGATGTAGGGAATTTATTTCAATTGACTGATTTCTTATATATGAACTGTAAATCATTAAAATCTTTGAAATTGTTGCATGTTGCGTTTATCATTTTTTTTGTTCACTATAATTTGTGTGGCTTCGGATTGCATTCAATGGAGCGCGAAAACAAGAACATGTCCATCCTCGCATGGACAAAAAAAGTTATATTCTATTAGGCCTATATTCTGAGAACTAGACGAGACAATAAAAACAGGGAAGTGTCCCCCTCTGCTAGCCCATGGGAATGTTTAAAGGCCCCTCGCGCGATGGGGGGAGGGTTGGTTAGCTCCCTCTCTCTCACTCTCCTGTCCCTCTCTCTCTCTCTCTCCCTCCGGGTCTCTCTGGCGAGGTGCCAAGCCTGCTCACGGACGGAGTTTCAATTGATGAGGGGAAGAATAGGCTCACTCACGCAAGGGCTCGGCTACAACAATACCAGTGTTTACACACACACATGAGCGCACAGTAGGACGTGTTGCTGGAGAGATGTACACCTGCTACCCGCTGGCACCTCGGCAGGAGCTGAGGAGAATCCCTTGAATTTACGAAACACACAGCGTCTCTCTCTGACGCCCTCTTCTCTTAGATAAATAAGCAGTTAGGCCTATCAGATGTTGCTGATGTGCTTTCTAATGTGTTTGAGTAGGCTTGTGTTAAATAACATCGTCAGCACTGTTGAGAACCCTCGTCGTGACTTAATGCTCTAGAATGAATGACTCAATGGTTCTATTCAAAGTTCATCCGAGTCTGCATGCAGATAAAGATAGATGGATATTTTAAATCTCTGCTTCATCAAAACGTCGGACACCATGTGTGGACAGATTACACCTGCTGTTACAAATAGCCAAAGACCTTTCATGTCATTGCATCCTGCTGCCTGCTAAGGTACTGCTACTAACTGTAGGCCAGGGTCCCCTATTCATAAAGTGTTTTAGAGTAGGAGCACCCTAACCAGGTTGGAGTTTTCAGGAGAAATGGAAAGAGAACCTGTGAAATGACTTCCGCTTTTGGACGTTAAAAGGTCAACTGCCCCTTAGAACCAACTTCTCTGGTTTGAAACGGCCTATGTGGCATCAATATGAGTCAGAAGCATTCGTTCCAGTGCCAAAATTGACTACAAAGTGTAAATGAGTTAATTATGGTCATAAAGTAAGTCTTCATCCAAAACTGAGTTTTGTAAGCGAGTTCATCACGACTTACCGGAGGGTTGGGTCTGGATTAGGATCATGCCCACTTTCCCAGTGCCCACTAACACGAGAGACGCAGCTGTGCTGACTGTGCTCTTTCAGCTGCGCCGCTGTATCCAATCATAGCAGCCAGAACCTCCAGACAGTGAGACAGACCTGCCCAATACGCAGTGCTTCACACTTGTTCATATCAGACAACAGTTGCCAATGTTATGTTGAAATAACCCTTGGCCCCTAGGCCCTTTATGGAGTGGCCACTTGCTGATGTGTTTGATAGTCTCAAGTCTTTTTTTTAGGAAAAATTAGAATTGAAATGATCAAAGTTCACTTGTATCCCAACTGCAACTTGTCAATATTCCAAAACCCATTCGTGAGCATCTTGTCCCCCCGCGACCTGTTTTGTAACATAATTCCCCATAAAACACTGCCAGACAGACAGTCTCACTGGTAATGGATAGTGAGAAAGCACACACGTCTCCACACGTCTCCACACGTCTCCACACGTCTCCGCTCGTCTCCACACGTCTCCACACGTCTCCACACGTCTCCGCTCGTCTCCACACGTCTCCACACGTCTCCACACGTCTCCACACGTCTCCGCTCGTCTCCACACGTCTCCACACGTCTCCACACGTCTCCACACGTCTCCACACGTCTCCACACGTCTCCACACGTCTCCACACGTCTCCGCTCGTCTCCACACGTCTCCACACGTCTCCACACGTCTCCAACGTCTCCACACGTCTCCACACGTCTCCAAACGTCTCCACACGTCTCCGCTCGTCTCCACACGTCTCCGCTCGTCTCCACACGTCTCCGCACGTCTCCGCTCGTCTCCGCACGTCTCCGCTCGTCTCCACACGTCTCCGCTCGTCTCCACACGTCTCCGCTCATCTCCACACGTCTCCGCTCGTCTCCACACGTCTCCGCACGTCTCCACACGTCTCCGCACGTCTCCGCTCGTCTCCACACGTCTCCACACGTCTCCACACGTCTCCACACGTCTCCATCGTCTCCACACGTCTCCACACGTCTCGCTCGTCTCCACACGTCTCCCGTCTCCACACGTCTCCGCACTCTCCGCTCGTCTCCACACGTCTCCACACGTCTCCACACGTCTCCGCTCGTCTCCACACGTCTCCACACGTCTCCGCTCGTCTCCACACGTCTCCACACGTCTCCACACGTCTCCACACGTCTCCGCTCGTCTCCACACGTCTCCACACGTCTCCACACGTCTCCACACGTCTCCACACGTCTCCGCTCGTCTCCGCTCGTCTCCACACGTCTCCACACGTCTCCACACGTCTCCGCACGTCTCCGCACGTCTCCGCTCGTCTCCACACGTCTCCACACGTCTCCACACGTCTCCACACGTCTCCGCTCGTCTCCACACGTCTCCGCTCGTCTCCGCTCGTCTCGCTCGTCTCCGCTCGTCTCCGCTCGTCTCCGCTCGTCTCCACACGTCTCCACACGTCTCCACACGTCTCCACACGTCTCCACACGTCTCCGCTCGCTGGTGACTTGATAAGCCTGCTAGCTACTACTTCCTAGCTTCATTAAAAACACAGAGTTCGAACTTAGCTAGCTAACAAGTGATTTTGGGCACTGATAAACAGCATGTAGCTTGTTCTTTATTTATGATAGTTTGACAGCTGATGAGGAAGTTGTAGACGTGTTATTGTTCTCAGAAATCAGTCCTGAGCATGCAACAAGACTTTCCTGACTCCATTGTATGCAGCGCACTGACTAGTTTTCATGCAAATGTTTTTAACTTGAGAAATACTGCACCAATCACCTTAGCTAGATGTAAAATTGCGGGACTAAGACCTCGGCAAAAAAACGTCTACATTATTTATCTTAGAATTAATTCTGACTATTTTAAGGAAGTGGTTATGTTGTTGCTACAGTGACTCATGAGGGACAAACAACAGTACCTGCAAGGGTACGATATGCGAACGTCCACCACACCCACATCAAACCACACCCCAAGACAACTTTTGTTTGGCTTCAGTCACAGCCTCTATCATTTCTTAATGAGCAATCTTCAAAACGAGGCCAAATCAGGAAGTGCAAGTCGTCCTTTAGCAAGGCGACTCTCCATCTGAACTCTTCCTCCACATTTACTGGATTGGTTGAACAGTGCAGAAGAGAACCTCCCCAAAAAGTGTTTTTCTCTCATTTTATATTAGGTTAGGGTCTGAGTACTGATCCAATGACTACAGAAGGAAACCGGAACCTTTATCACACACATGCACTCTCATTCAGCGGAATCAATGATAGATTAGGATTCTTGGCGATATCGTTCCGTAACACACTGGGTGCAGGTGAGAGATGTCCAATAGGCTAGCTCTCTTTCCAGCTGTGTTCAAGTGGTCAAGCGTTATGGCTTTTCCAACTGGACACCGTTCCTTCTAAATGGGATAATGCATGTAGTAATGTGTAAGGAATCACTGTGTAACATCAACCTGACCCCCCCCATGGTCTATTTGTGGCATAAAGACATCCAACCATACATTGATATGGTTGGTAAAGCCTTATGCCCGTGTGAACATTTGGAATGCATGTTTAGCACACACACACACACACACACACACACACACTCACACACCTCATGTCTGCTAGGCAGAAGGAGTTCAGGGTTTGTTTATTGGACAGTCGTGGTCATTAAATATCTCAATAGGTCTGGATGCCAGTCTGTTTGCCAGGTCTGTTTGCCAGGTCTGGATGCCAGTCTGTTTGGATGCCAGTCTGTTTGCCAGGTCTGGATGCCAGTCTGTTTGCCAGGTCTGGATGCCAGTCTGTTTGCCAGGTTGTCGTTGTTTGGCAGAACAAGGTTTGTTTGGCAAGGCAACAATGTGTCGTTGTTGAATACATAAACAGTAAGTCAGTTACCTAGGCTACTCTATTGTTGCTTGGCTACCAAGACTCCTTGCTCTGGCCAATCACAGACACAATGAGCCTGGATCTGAGTACCTCCCCGACCCTTCACTGAATGCCAACTGGGGCCGTCTGATTGGTCCAGAGCCAGAACACACGCGAGTAAAGCGTCAGTTTTAAAAATTCGTCATTGGTCTTTGATGCTCTGATTAGATCCCACCTGGGCGGGCAGTTATAGTCCTATTGCGCTGACATCCAGCATGTGTAAGTTGATGGAGGATGATGTATTTCTTGGAAGTTAGGGGTTTTACGAGCGCAGCACAGAGTGGGTTCAGGAGAGGGAGGTCTGACATGGTGAGAGTTAAAAGAGGTGATGAGTGTTGTGTATTTTGACATTGAGAAAGCTACGATACCATGTGGAGGGAAAGGGTTGTTGATCAAGTTGAGTGCATTGGGCATTGGCGGACATCTGTATAACTGGATCATGGACTTCCTGTTCGATCGAGTCATACAGATGAGTGTGAGGTCAGAATTGTCAATGTGGTTTGAAGTGGACAACGGTACTCCTCAGGGAAGCGTGGTCAGCCCGGTGTTCTTCACCCTGATGATAGATTATATATTTAAGGAGGTGGGACAGGGAGTGGGTATTGCCTTGTATGCTGATGATGGGGTCTGTATGGAAGAGAGGTGGGAATGTGAAATATGTGACGAGGAAGATGCTAGAAGCTGTGGGAGATTGGTCTCTAACATGGGGGTTTAGGATGTCTGTGGCCAAGTCCTGCTTTATGGTGTATTCTAGGAGGAAGGTTAAAGCTGTTAGGGCTGCAAATAAACGGCCAGGATATACAGTAGGGCGTCTGAGTTGAAGTATTTAGGTATGTGGTTTGATGGGAGGCTTACGTACAAGAGACATGTTCAATAATATTGAAATTAAGTTTTTAAATTTTTTATTATGGGCGCTTTGTATATGGATCGGCGGCCAAAACGGTACTACAGCGCCTAGAAAGGATACAGTCAAGGGCCCTGAGATTGTGTGTGTGGGATCCTTCAGGACGACACCTGTTGAGGCATTACGGGTGGATAGTGTGTGGGATCCTTCAGGACGACACCTGTTGAGGCATTACGGGTGGATAGTGTGTGGGATCCTTCAGGACGACACCTGTTGAGGCATTACGGGTGGATAGTGTGTGGGATCCTTCAGGACGACACCTGTTGAGGCATTACGGGTGGATAGTGTGTGGGATCCTTCAGGACGACACCTGTTGAGGCATTACGGGTGGATAGTGTGTGGGATCCTTCAGGACGACACCTGTTGAGGCATTACGGGTGGATAGTGTGTGGGATCCTTCAGGACGACACCTGTTGAGGCATTACGGGTGGATAGTGTGTGGGATCCTTCAGGACGACACCTGTTGAGGCATTACGGGTGGATAGTGTGTGGGATCCTTCAGGACGACACCTGTTGAGGCATTACGGGTGGATAGTGTGTGGGATCCTTCAGGACGACACCTGTTGAGGCATTACGGGTGGATAGTGTGTGGGATCCTTCAGGACGACACCTGTTGAGTCATTACGGGTGGATAGTGTGTGGGATCCTTCAGGACGACACCTGTTGAGTCATTACGGGTGGATAGTGTGTGGGATCCTTCAGGACGACACCTGTTGAGTCATTACGGGTGGATAGTGTGTGGGATCCTTCAGGACGACACCTGTTGAGTCATTACGGGTGGATAGTGTGTGGGATCCTTCAGGACGACACCTGTTGAGGCATTACGGGTGGATAGTGGGTGGGATCCTTCAGGACGACACCTGTTGAGTCAGTACGGGTGGATAGTGTGTGGGATCCTTCAGGACGACACCTGTTGAGTCAGTACGGGTGGATAGTGGGGAACTGCCACTGAGGATAAGGCGGTACTAACTTGCATTAGCGTACTGGGTCGAGGTTGAAAGGGGTGTTCAGAACGACATCCTGCGGTCATGGCAACTGGGGAATGCTGGGAGCGAGGAGTGGGTAAGCAGAGGGCGTACGGGTGGACAGTCGGGCAGAAAGTGGTAGAATATGGACTGGGGGGGGGGGGGGGGCGAGAGAGAGAGACGGGGACGGCAATTGCATTGGGGAACGTTCCTCCGTTGGCTGTTTAGATGTGTAGATGTGGATATGATTGAGGGTAGGAGAGAATGGGAAGAGGACATGAGACTGTGTGTGGAGAGATACACTGTATATAGATAATCAGTTGTATTAGTTTTTTAAGGATATACTGTATATAGATGGTTCATAGGATCCAGTCAGTGCTAGGGTGGGGGCAGGGGTGTATATTCCAGATTTCAATGTTAGAGTATGTAAGCGGGTTAACTGATTATGTGTCAGTGTTTGCGGCCTGGTTGATGGCCATGATTATAGGTTTGAGATGGGGTGGAGGAGGAGTTGAAACCTCTCAGAGTGGTGATCTGCTCTGATTAAGGCTGCAGTGTTGAGGAAGTGTGAAGACGGGCAGGTCGGATAGGGGAGACTTATTTGTGGAGATGACGGTGCTGTTAATGGGATTGGAGAGAATGGGAGTGGTGGTAAGCTTTTGCTGGGCACCCTCCCATGTGGGTGTGGATGGTATTGAGAAGGCCGATGTTGTGGCTAAGAGTGCTGTGAGGAGAGAGGGGGTAGATATTCAGGTCCCGCTGGGCCGCAGGGAAGTCAAGTCCTTGGGCTCGATCTTTGGCAAAGGGAATGGGATGCTAGTAGGGGGGAGGCAATACAGATATGCATCTGTTGGTCACAGCTATCTTTAAAAAACGCTAGGGGTGTGGATCAGAAAACCAGTCAGTATCTGGTGTGACCACCATTTGCCTCATGCAGCGCCACACATCTCCTTCGCATAGAGTTGATCAGGCTGTTGATTGTGGCCTGTTGTCCCACTCCTCTTCAATGGCTGTGCGAAGTTGCTGGATTTTGGCGGGAACTGGAACACGCTGTCGTACACGTCGATCCAGAGCATCCCAAACATGCTTAATTTGGTGACATGTCTGGTGAGTATACAGGCCATGGAAGAACTGGGACATTTTCAGCTTCAAGGAATTGTGTACATGAGGTGATGGCGGTGGATGAATGTCACGACAATGGGCCTCAGGATCTCGTCACGGTATCTCTGTGCATTCAAATTGCCATCGATAAAATGAAATTGTGTTTGTTGTCCGTAACTTATGCCTGCCTATACCATAACCCCACCGCCACCATGGGGCACTCTGTTCACAACGTTGGCATCAGCAAACCGCTCGCCCACACGACTCCATACACGTGGTCTGCGGTTGTGAGGCCGTTTGGACATACTGCCAAATTCGACGTTATGGTAGAGAAATGAACATCAGTTCTATTGGCAACAGCTCTGGTAGACATTCCTGCAGTCAGCATGACAATTGCACGCTCCCTCAAAACTTGAGACGTCTGTGGCATTGTGTTGTGTGATAAAACTGCACATTTTAGAGAGGCCTTGTGTGAAAGGGTGAGATTAGGCTGGACGGGGTTGGGGTTTGGGTGGTGTAGTGGGGGGGGGGTAGAGAGGCTGGACGGGGTTGGGGTTTGGGTGGTGTAGTGGGGGGGGGGGGGTTAGAGAGGCTGGACGGGGTTGGGGTTTGGGTGGTGTAGTGGGGGGGGGTTAGAGAGGCTGGACGGGGTTGGGGTTTGGGTGGTGTAGTGGGGGGAGGAAAGGGGAGGATAGTGGTGTCTAGGGCTCTATTTCACTTTCTTAGAGGAACAGGACTAATGAAGATCATGTAATGTAGGTGGTCCGTGAATGGCCTCACACTCCAGTACAGTAGGAGGCGGTGTAAAAGTTGGACGCGATCAACCAACCCAATCTGAAAGAAAAAGAAGAAGAAGATACTCTGATTGGTTAGAGAACATCCAATCGCTGATGATTGTTTTGTACAACACCCCTCGTCACTACAAACGACCGCAATGATGGCAGTCAGACTAAAGGTATCCATGAGAAGAAGATTTTGGGTGGTATTTTATTCTGACATGTTTAACTATCTGTGTAGTTTCTTCTGGCAGATTACTAACAGAGTTGTTATCCTGCTATGTGGTTCCTGCGGTTAAAAGGACTAGTCATTTAACAAGTGAAACTCTAGCGCAAGCAAGTGGCCAACATAGAAACTACACCTTTCTATAATATGCCATTTAGCAGACGCTTTTATCCAAAGCGACATACAGTCATGTGTGCATACATTTTTTACGTATGGAGCAGGGGCGGTGTGTTCATTAGGGCGATATGGGCGACGCACTGCCAAACGGGAAAAGCAAGGCATTTTTTTTCTAATCAATTATATCACGGCAACAGTAGTTATCAGTGTTCTAATCTAGACGTCTGATCTGCCACTAAATGTCCAATCAGGCTAAAGTCGTGCTTCAAATGGCCCCGCCCGTTTTGGGGCGATTTCAGTCAGGTTGAAAATCGCCCAGAAGTCTCTCATAGCCTCTCATGTAAAATCTTTTTTTTTCAAATATCAGAGCTTTCAATACAATCTCTATGGGTTTCTGAGGGCTTGCACTTACGCGCTTTCGTCATACGTAACATAACCATGAACGTAACTAAGAAAAGAGCGGGTAGCAGCGTCAATCAATTCACGTACTACTATCAAGATGGCTAGCGTTCAGTGCAACTCGATTGTCTCTTTGAAAGAAGTTCACATCAAAGACCATTCAAAACGAGCTACTGGAGTGTATGCTAGCGGTCATGAGGGAACATATTGTGGAGGAGGTGAAGTCGGCGAACTTCGTAGCTATCCAAGCTGACGAGACCACGGACGTTTCTACACAGACACAGCTGGCTGGTGCTGAGGTACATAGATAGCAACCACAGAGTGCAGGAGCGCTTTTTTGAGTTCCTTCCCATCTCGGAATCAACCTCAGTCTCAATCGCCAGTGTGCTTTTGGAGAGACTGAAACTGAGAGTCAAACTCATTGCGCAAGCTTACGATGGAGCCAGTGTGATGAGGGGAGAGAAGGCTGGTGTGCAGCAAAAGGTACGTGAGCATTTCAAGAATGCCCATTACGTGCATTGCTATGTGCATCAGCTGAATTTTATGCCTGATTTCAATGAGAAAGTCATTGACCGCTTTGCTGCATTGAAAGAGAGAAGAGAACAGTTTCAGTACAAGTAATGTAGCCTCTCTCTCTCTTTGTCCCTCCCTGTCTGTCTCTTTAACACACACACGCCCAAATCAGTTCACAGTTGATGTTGTTTAAAATAGTTATTTTTCATTAAAAAAAAAGTAAAACTTTTTTTTTACAAATCTATACAATTGGCCAGAATATGGTTGTTCATATTTACAAATCTATACAATTGGCCAGAATATGGTTGTTCATTTTTACAAAGCCATACAGATAGCTGTGTTTACCTTTTCTAGAAATTATTTTCAAATTCTGTTTTCAGGCAAAATGTCTATCACTGTTCATTTTCACAAATCTATACAAGAGGGCAGAATATGGAAGTGTATAAAAATTTCCTATTACCAATAACTTGCATCAATGTTTTCAGTAGCCTCTATCAAAAGCTCCTGCTTGCTTGTTGTGAATTATGCTCAGGTGCACATATTTCCAATTCAACCATGAGGCCTTTTTGAAGCAAGTAATGTGTATATCAGTATTGACTTATATGCTGCCCCTGTCTTCATGTTGTTGCTGGACATATCTTTTTTAAAATGTGTGTAGGTCACCTAAATCATCAGAAAAATTGCCCCCCCTGAGAATTTTTTCAGGAGCCGCCACTGGTATGGAGTAATCTTTTTTTGGAATGGTGTTAAGTTACAAACTTCACTTCAGTTCAGAGATTGATCAATTAAAGATGTATGTTCCTGCGAGGGCACTTCTAGTGTGTACACTTCTAGTGGCACTTCTGGTCCTCTGTAGCTCAGCTGGTAGAGCACGGCGCTTGTAACGCCAGGGTAGTGGGTTCGATCCCCGGGACCACCCATACACAAAAATGTATGCACGTATGACTGTAAATCGCTTTGGATAAAAGCGTCTGCTAAATGGCATATTACTATTTAGTGTTGAATTGGTACATGACACATGCAGCAAAGACACAGAGATGATGTAGGTTTTTAAAAAATAACAGTCTGCATAGTAGAGACAGGAGGACATACAGTATATAACGTTTTCAATCAATCATCCACAAAACTAGATTATGGTCATATGTAGGCTACTCTTTACATTACATTATTCGGTTCCGCCAAAAATACGTTTCTTCCTTCTTTTCCTGGCCACTGTGCTTCTGCTTGCTCTTTGGGATTGGGTTACTGTAAAACACGTTGACAACCATCATGGATCTGATAAAAAAGACAAACTCCAAAACAAACAAAGTGTTAACTAACCTACGTCTCTGGTTTCAAGTATCCACCTACATTGATGTGTGTCTGAAGGGGTACGTGACAGTAGCACTAGCAGCATGCGGACAACAGCGCCTCCTGGCGTTGCTCCGGCGCATTGGACGGTGACAGCAGCAGCAGGAGGCGGGCGGCCCGTGTGTGTCGTGAACAACATTAGTCGTGAGCAAGAATAGTAGAATCGGCTGTTCGCCTTCTAAATAAAAGTCCCCAAAATGAAACTGATGCTAACGGACGAAAATAGTGAAATCATGCCACAATTGGACTGGATAATGCTAAACAAGGTTGGAATGTTGTTATATAAATTCAACAAAATAATATTATTAGTTAATTTGACCCCCCCCCAAAAAAAAATCAGTTGAAATCACACTGTGGATGTATAGATTAAAGAATTGCATTGGTGGCATACTTATATAATATAATGTACAGCCTTACCTATGGATCTTGGGTCCATGAAATGGTTTATCAGCCTACTCAGTGACACCCACAGATTACAATTATAAAGAGTTTACACAAATATTAGCCCTTGTAGCTCTTATAGGGGGGATTTTAACTGTGGGAAATGACATATTAGTGATTTAGCGGACGCTCTTATCCAGAGCGACTTACTGTAGTGAGGGCGTACGTTTTCTGGACTGGTCCCCCCGTGAGAATCGACCCCCACAATCCTGTCTACCAACGGAGCCACATGGGAAGTGACCTCACTGTTCAGCCTGTTGTGTGTCTTGAACATTCATATGGGATCTTGGGTCCAGGAAATTGGGGTATCAGTCTACACAGGTGACACCCACAACTTGTGAACGAGTTTTCACAAATCTAGGGTTTAGATTAAGCAGGTCCTGCAATTTTCATAAAGCAATGTGTTTTCGGGCCTTCGTTTTGGACTTGAAGTTTTAAAGTGTTAATGTCACGTGCACAAAGTACAGTGAAATGCCTTTCTTTCAAGCTCTAAACCCAACAATGCAGTAATCAACATCAATGTAGCACAAAAAAGAACAAGGTAGAACAAAAACACACAAGAAATACAAATAAGAAATAAGAACAGGAGAAAGTAAGAAGCTAAATACAGGGTCAGTTCAATACCATATTTATAATGTGTAGGGATACTGGAGTGATGGAGGTAGATATGTATAGGGGTAAGGTGACTATATACAGGGTCAGTTCAATACCATATTAACAATGTGCAGGGATACTGGAGTGATGGAGGTAGATATGTATAGGGGTAAGGTGACTATATACAGGGTCAGTTCAATACCATATTAACAATGTGCAGGGATACTGGAGTGATGGAGGTAGATATGTATAGGGGTAAGGTGACTATATACAGGGTCACTTCCAATACCATATTAACAATGTGCAGGGATACTGGAGTGATGGAGGTAGATATGTATAGGGGTCAGGTGACTATATACAGGGTCAGTTCCAGTACCATATTAACAATGTGCAGGGATACTGGAGTGATGGAGGTAGATATGTATAGGGGTCAGGTGACTATATACAGGGTCAGTTCCAGTACCATATTAACAATGTGCAGGGATACTGGAGTGATGGAGGTAGATATGTATAGGGGTCAGGGGACTATATACAGGGTCAGTTCCAATACCATATTAACAATGTGCAGGGATACTGGAGTGATGGAGGTAGATATGTATAGGGGTCAGGTGACTATATACAGGGTCAGTTCCAGTACCATATTAACAATGTGCAGGGATACTGGAGTGATGGAGGTAGATATGTATAGGGGTAAGGTGACTATATACAGGGTCAGTTCCAGTACCATATTAACAATGTGCAGGGATACTGGAGTGATGGAGGTAGATATGTATAGGGGTCAGGGGACTATATACAGGGTCAGTTCCAATACCATATTAACAATGTGCAGGGATACTGGAGTGATGGAGGTAGATATGTATAGGGGTAAGGTGACTATATACAGGGTCAGTTCCAATACCATATTAACAATGTGCAGGGATACTGGAGTGATGGAGGTAGATATGTATAGGGGTCAGGTGACTATATACAGGGTCAGTTCCAGTACCATATTAACAATGTGCAGGGATACTGGAGTGATGGAGGTAGATATGTATAGGGGTAAGGTGACTATATACAGGGTCAGTTCCAGTACCATATTAACAATGTGCAGGGATACTGGAGTGATGGAGGTAGATATGTATAGGGGTAAGGTGACTATATACAGGGTCAGTTCCAGTACCATATTAACAATGTGCAGGGATACTGGAGTGATAGAGGTAGATATGTATAGGGGTAAGGTGACTATATACAGGGTCAGTTCCAGTACCATATTAACAATGTGCAGGGATACTGGAGTGATAGAGGTAGATATGTATAGGGGGAAGGGGACTATATACAGGGTCAGTTCCAGTACCATATTAACAATGTGCAGGGATACTGGAGTGATAGAGGTAGATATGTATAGGGGTAAGGTGACTATATACAGGGTCAGTTCCAATACCATATTAACAATGTGCAGGGATACTGGAGTGATGGAGGTAGATATGTATAGGGGTAAGGTGACTATATACAGGGTCAGTTCAATACCATATTAACAATGTGCAGGGATACTGGAGTGATGGAGGTAGATATGTACAGGGGTAAGGTGACTATATACAGGGTCAGTTCCAGTACCATATTAACAATGTGCAGGGATACTGGAGTGATGGAGGTAGATATGTATAGGGGTAAGGTGACTATATACAGGGTCAGTTCCAGTACCATATTAACAATGTGCAGGGATACTGGAGTGATAGAGGTAGATATGTATAGGGGTAAGGTGACTATATACAGGGTCAGTTCCAGTACCATATTAACAATGTGCAGGGATACTGGAGTGATGGAGGTAGATATGTATAGGGGTAAGGTGACTATATACAGGGTCAGTTCCAGTACCATATTAACAATGTGCAGGGATACTGGAGTGATAGAGGTAGATATGTATAGGGGTAAGGTGACTATATACAGGGTCAGTTCAATACCATATTAACAATGTGCAGGGATACTGGAGTGATAGAGGTAGATATGTATAGGGGTAAGGTGACTATATACAGGGTCAGTTCCAGTACCATATTAACAATGTGCAGGGATACTGGAGTGATGGAGGTAGATATGTATAGGGGTCAGGTGACTATATACAGGGTCAGTTCCAGTACCATATTAACAATGTGCAGGGATACTGGAGTGATAGAGGTAGATATGTATAGGGGTAAGGTGACTATATACAGGGTCAGTTCAATACCATATTAACAATGTGTAGGGATACTGGAGTGATAGAGGTAGATATGTATAGGAGTAGGTGACTATATACACGGTCAGTTCAATACCATATTAACAATGTGCAGGGATACTGGAGTGATAGAGGTAGATATGTACAGGGGTAAGGTGACTATATACAGGGTCAGTTCCAGTACCATATTAACAATGTGCAGGGATACTGGAGTGATAGAGGTAGATATGTATAGGGGTAAGGTGACTATATACAGGGTCAGTTCAATACCATATTAACAATGTGCAGGGATACTGGAGTGATGGAGGTAGATATGTATAGGGGTAAGGTGACTATATACAGGGTCAGTTCCAGTACCATATTAACAATGTGCAGGGATACTGGAGTGATAGAGGTAGATATGTATAGGGGTAAGGTGACTATATACAGGGTCAGTTCCAGTACCATATTAACAATGTGCAGGGATACTGGAGTGATAGAGGTAGATATGTATAGGGGTCAGGTGACTAGGCATCAGGATATACAGTATGATGAATAGATGTACGTATGATGATTGTGTGTGTATAAGGATCAACTCAGATAGTCTGTGAAAGCCATTTAGTTGGCTATTTAACAGTCTTATGGCTTGAGAATAGAAGCTGTTCAGGAGCCTGTTGGTGTCAGACGATGCACCGGTACCGCTTGCCGTGCGGAAGCAGAGAGAACTAGGGCTGTCCCTGACAAAAAAAAAATAGTAATTTGTTTTTCAGACCAATCGACTGGTCTAAATTTTCAAACGTGTATTTTTCCATACACAGTGCATTCGGAAAGTATTCAGACCCCTTGACTTTTCCACATTTTGTTACGTTACAGCCTTATTCTAAAATTGATTAAATTGTTTTTTCCCCCTCATCAATCTACACACAATACCCCATAATGACAAAGCAAAAACAGGTTTTTAGACAATTTTGCAATTTTTAAAAAATAAATTAAAGAAATATCACGTTTACGTAAGTATTCAGACCCTTTACTCAGTACTTTGTTGAAGCACCTTTGGCAGTGATTACAGCCTTGAGTCTTCTTGGGTATGACGCTACAAGCTTGGCACACCTGTATTTGGGGAGTTTCTCCCATTCTTCTCTGCAGATCCTCTCAAGCTCTATCAGGTATGTATAGGGGTAAGCTATTTTCAAGTCTCTCCAGAGATGTTCGAACGGGTTCAAGTCCGGGCTCTGGCTGGGCCACTCAAGGACATTCAGAGACTTGTCCCGAAGCCACTCCTGCGTTGTCTTGGCTGTGTGTTTAGGGTCGTTGTCCTGTTGGAAGCTGAACATTCGCCCCAGTCTGAGGTCCTGAGCGCTCTGGAGCAGGTTTTCATCAAGGATCTCTCTGTACTTTGCTCCGTTCATCTTTTCCCCGATCCTGACTAGTCTCCCAGTCCCTGCCGCTGAAAAACATCCCCACAGCATGATGGTGCCACCACCATGCTTCACCGTAGGGGTGGTGCCAGGTTGAGATGTTTGCAAACCTGGTGGCCAACTACAAGAAAAGTCTGACCTCTGTGATTGCCAACAAGGGTTTTGCCACCAAGTACTAAGTCATGTTTTGCAGAGGGGTCAAATACTTATTTCCCTCATTAAAATGCAAATCAATTTATAACATTTTTGACAAGCGTTTTTCCGGATTTTTTTGTTTGTTATTCTGTCTCTCACTATTCAAATAAACCAACCAACCAATTAAAATTATAGACTGATCATGTCTTTGTCAGTGGGCAAACGTACAAAATCAGCAGGGGATCAAATACTTTTTCCCCCTCACTGTATGTGAGTCGACCCTAGTCTTACTGCCGGTGAGTTGGCTTACAAGACCTCTCCCCTTCATTCTGTAAGTACACTCAAAGATATCTTATAATATTGTGTTTGATAGTATGTTTTTGTCATAAACCATGTTCTTCTGGGTAATGAAATTGGACCCAGGTATCAAATTTATAATCAGGGTTGTAAGAATAAAACAGATTTGAAGCATTAAATGAATAATTTTGTGTATACAGTACTTTAGACAGGTCTGTTCAATACGTGATTGTTCACCTCTTAGTTGATGTATAGGGCATAGTTATTCACCAGCTATAGAGTAAGTTGATGTTTATTGTTTGTAAGACTGCCGGGAGGGAGATGGCCTTGAGAACAGCAGGAAGTGTGTTGGTGGTCTTTCTCTGGTCTGTGGCAGGTACGGGCTCATTCATTGGTTACCCGCATTCTCTATACTGTTTTAGCTACACACAATTCTAAAATGTCATAAAGCAATTTAGGACAAGATGCTTAATAAAGGTATAGTTCACCCAAATTACAAAATGACATATTGGTTTCCTTACCGTTTAAGCAGTATAACAACCTCCCGAGTGGCGCAGTGGTCTAAGGCACTGCATCGCAGCGCTAGCTGTGCCACTAGAGATCCTGGTTCGAATCCAGGCTCTGTCGTAGCCAGCCGCGACCGGGAGACCCATGGGGCGGCGCACAATTGGCCCGCACAGTTGTCCAGGGTAGGGGCGGGATGGCCGGCAGGGATGTAGCTCAGTTGGTAGAGCGTGGCGTTTAGCAACGCCAGGGTTGTGGGTTCGATTCCCACGGGGGGGGGGGGGGCAGTATAAAAAATAATGTATGCACTCACTAACTGTAAGTCGCTCTGGATAAGAGCGTCTGCTAAATGACGTAAATATATATGGACAAGTTATGACAGCAACCTGTGCTTTGATTTTGTTCACCTGGCCTTTGTTTCAAATGATAACATTTTTTTTTGCATTCGTGGCACAAATCCAATGCAATTCAATGGTACCGATATTAAAAATGTTTGCGCTTAATGTCCAAATCATCTTAAAGTATTTAGAATTGATTGTCTAGCTCAGTTAAGTTATTTATAGATGAGGAAACCAATATGTATTTTGTAATTTAGGTAAACTGTCCCTTTAAGGATGAATGGCATCTTCTCCAGTTCACTGTAAATAGTTGTCTTTCACACCTCACTGAGTGACACTTCTCTATGGTTTCCATGCACAACTACTGCAACAAAGTGGGGACAAAAAAAAGCCAGTGGGGACAGAAGGTGACCAGCTGCACTCTGAGTGAAAACCCCAACCCCACCCAGACCCGTCGCCAGACCTCAGTCTTAAGGGGGGCATATCAATCAATCAATCAATTTTATTTTATATAGCCCTTCTTACATCAGCTAATATCTCGAAGTGCTGTACAGAAACCCAGCCTAAAACCCCAAACAGCTAGTAATGCAGGTGTAGAAGCACGGTGGCTAGGAAAAACTCCCTAGAAAGGCAAAACCTAGGAAGAAACCTAGAGAGGAACCAGGCTATGAGGGGTGGCCAGTCCTCTTCTGGCTGTGCCGGGTGGAGATTATAACAGAACCATGCCAAGATGTTCAAAAATGTTCATAAGTGACAAGCATGGTCAAATAATAATCAGGAATAAATCTCAGTTGGCTTTTCATAGCCGATCATTAGAGTTTAAAACAGCAGGTCTGGGACAGGTAGGGGTTCCATAACCGCAGGCAGAACAGTTTTAAACTGGAATAGCAGCAAGGCCAGGCGGACTGGGGACAGCAAGGAGTCACCACGGCCGGTAGTCCCGACGTATGGTCCTAGGGCTCAGGTCTCTCAGTTGGCTTTTCATAGCCGATCATTTAGAGTTGAAAACAGCAGGTCTGGGACAGGTAGGGGTTTCGTAGCCGCAGGCAGAACAGTTGAAACTGGAATAGCAGCAAGGCCAGGCGGACTGGGGACAGCAAGGTGTCATCATGCCCGGTAGTCCTGACGTATGGTCCTAGGGCTCAGGTTCTCAGAGAGAAAGAGAGAACGAGAGAATTAGAGAGAGCATACTTAAATTCACACAGGACACTGGATAAGACAGGAGAAGTACTCCAGGTATAACCAACTAACCCCAGCCCCCCGACACATAAACTACTGCAGCATAAATACTGGAGGCTGAGACAGGAGCGGTCCGGAGACACTGTGGCCCCATCCGAAGAAACCCCCGGACAGGGCCAAACAGGAAGGATATAACCCCACCCACTCCGCCAAAGCACAGCCCCCGCACCACTAGAGGGATATCCCCAACCACCAACTTACAATCCTGAGACAAGGCCGAGTATAGCCCACAGAGGTCTCCACCACAGCACAAACCAAGGGGGGGGGGGCGCCAACCCAGACAGGAAGATCACGTCAGTAACTCAACCCACTCAAGTGACGCACCCCCCCCCAGGGACGGCATGAAAGAGCACCAGCAAGCCAGTGACTCAGCCCCTGCAACAGGGTTAGAGGCAGAGAACCCCAGTGGAGAGGGGAACCGGCCCGGCAGAGACAGCAAGGGCTGTTCGTTGCTCCAGCCTTTCCGTTCACCTTCACACTCCTGGGCCAGACTACACTCAATCATATGACCTACTGAAGAGATAAGTCTTCAGTAAAGACTTAAAGGTTGAGACCGAGTCTGCGTCTCTCACATGGGTAGGCAGACTGTTCCATAAAAATGGAGATCTATAGGAGAAAGCCCTGCCTCCCGCTGTTTGCTTAGAAATTCTAGGGACAATTAGGAGGCCTGCGTCTTGTGACCGTAGCGTACGTATTGGTATGTACGGCAGGACCAACTCGGAAAGATAGGTAGGAGCAAGCCCATGTAACGCTTTATAGGTTAACAGTAAAACCTTGAAATCAGCCCTTGCCTTAACAGGAAGCCAGTGTAGGGAAGCTAGCACTGGAGTAATATGATCAAATTTCTTGGTTCTAGTCAGGATTCTAGCAGCCGTATTTAGCACTAACTGAAGTTTATTTAGTGCTTTATCCGGGTAGCCGGAAAATAGAGCATTGCAGTAGTCTAACCTAGAAGTAACAAATGCATGGATTAATTTTTCTGCATCATTTTTGGACAGAAAATTTCTGATTTTTGCAATGTTACGTAGATGGAAAAAAGCTGTCCTTGAAACAGTCTTGATATGTTCGTCAAAAGAGAGATCAGGGTCAAGAGTAACGCCTAGGTCCTTCACAGTTTTTATTTGAGACGACTTTACAACCATCAAGATGAATTGTCAGATTTAACAGAAGATCTCTTTGTTTCTTGGGACCTAGAACAAGCATCTCTGTTTTGTCCGAGTTTAAAAGTAAAAAGTTTTCAGCCATCCACTTCCTTATGTCTGAAACACAGGCTTCTAGCGAGGGCAATTTTGGGGCTTCACCATGCTTCATTGAAATGTACAGCTGTGTGTCATCCGCATAGCAGTGAAAGTTAACATTATGTTTTCGAATAACATCCCCAAGAGGTAAAATATATAGTGAAAACAATAGTGGTCCTAAAACGGAACCTTGAGGAACACCGAAATGTACAGTTGATTTGTCGGAGGACAGACCATTCACAGAGACAAACTGATATCTTTCCGACAGGTAGGATCTAAACCAGGCCAGAACTTGTCCGTGTAGACCAATTTGGGTTTCCAGTCTCTCCAAAAGAATGTGGTGATCGATGGTGTCAAAGGCAGCACTAAGGTCTAGTAGCACGAGGACAGATGCAGAGCCTCGGTCTGACGCCATTAAAAGGTCATTTACCACCTTCACAAGTGCAGTCTCAGTGCTATGATGGGGTCTAAAACCAGACTGAAGCATTTCGTATACATTGTTTGTCTTCAGAAAGGCAGTGAGTTGCTGCGCAACAGCTTTTTCTAAAATTTTTGAGAGGAATGGAAGATTCGATATAGGCCGATAGTTTTTTATATTTTCCGGGTCAAGGTTTGGCTTTTTCAAGAGAGGCTTTATCACTGCCACTTTTAGTGAGTTTGGTACACATCCGGTGGATAGAGAGCTGTTTATTATGTTCAACATAGGAGGGCCAAGCACAGGAAGCAGCTCCTTCAGCAGTTTAGTAGGAATAGGATCCAGTATGCATATGAAATGCATGGGAGGGCAGGGCACAATTGTTATTAGCCTACAGTACATATATTTAATAATAAATTCCCTCAAGTGGGGGGGGGGGGGGGCACAAGCATTTTGGGGGGCGGGCCCGGCCCCCTATGGCCCGCCCATAGCGACGGGTGTGACCCCACCTACATCTGGCACATGAACGGACAACATCTCGATGAACCCACCTCCACACTTCTGTTATCAGTTATTTTAAACACAGCTACTCATGTGAGAACTTGTTCTCAACTGGCTTACCTGGTTAAATAAAGGTGAAATAAAAAATAAAAATGTGCTGTGAAAGGCCATGAGGATCTCCGCTCTCCTGCAGTGTGTGAGTCTGGCTACAACTACAGTATTTTTAAAAAAGTTTGCAAAGTTTGCGTCTTACTAAGATTATTACTATCACTAAAGTTTTATTGTTCAGGCCTGAATCAGCTGGTTTAAAAAATAATAATTTTAGGTATTTTAGTTGTTCTGGGTACAACCTGTTTCACATTTTTCAAGATGGTTGTAACTGTTGCCAAATAATGAAATGAATGTATATTGCTTGGAATGCAGTGGCCTCCCCTAACAGGTCTCAAATCCAGACCTCTAGCACCAATGACCAACACCCTAACCACTGTCCCAATAAGGGATATTAATTTATTAATTTATTTTACCTTTATTCAGTGTAGTGACGCCTCAAGCACTGAGATGCAGTGGCTCAGACCTCTCTGGGCCACTAGAGGCAGGTCCTGTCCAGAAGAAATCCTAACCCCTTCTCCCTAGGCACTTGTGTTGATCTGAAACCAACTGGATTGGTGTAAGCAATAGGGTGAATGCACTTTGAAGTCAATCTCAGTTTTGTTAAAAGTACACTCAAGAAAAACTACTCAATTTTTTTTATTTCACCTTTATTTCAACAGGGAGTCCCATTGAAATGTAGCTCTCTTTTACAAGGGACCCCTGCATATACACAATGTATAAATACAACATAATACAAATATTGATCATAGTAATTCAGTTAATATAATTAAAAGAGGTTAATATGCCCCACCAACATTCGACAACCATACAGAAAGCCCTTAATAAATGCATTAGTTTCAAATGTGTCACTTTTATTTTGAAATCGAACCGCCGATTCCGCTATTGTTTCTCAGGCTGATGTTGTTGACGACACACACGGTGCCAGACCGGACCCCTTGATACGGGAGGAGGCCAGGGACAGCCAGGCCCGGCTTCTCTTCTCATACGATATTAATTGCGTGGTTCAAGCTAGAGTAAGCCCATAGGATGTCCCGTCATGAAGGTAAGAAGTTAACTCGCACAAAGAGACCCGGGCGAAGCGGTTGCGATAGCTGCCGGTTAGCGACATGGAGGGTGTTTATATTGAACTGCATGATGGCGGACCCCTTTACATTTTACCACTTTATCCAGCCCCTGAGCTTCTGTAGCTAGCTAAACAGCTTTCCAACAAAGGGAGACTGGTAGTTGAACGTAAGGACACTGCACAAGAAAGCAGTTAATATTTTCCCGAGTTAAGTTAGTTAGCTAGCTAGCTAACTAGTTCGCACGGTAGCCAGCCAGCTACTACAGTAACTAGTTAGCTAGCGTTAGTTGACTTGCTAAGTTAGTTAACTAACTATCATTTAAACCTGAAGTTAGCTAGCTAGTTTACAAGGCTTAGGTACGGCAAACCATTACAAATTGAAATGTATTCGACACTATCGTGGCTGTCAACACATCACTAGCTTGCTCGGTTTCCCTTTCCCATCTAACCTTGTTAACGTCACACACACGTCGTTAAGGGAATGGACTGGCATCAAATTGGCGATGGACGAGGCCCTGTAACCAATTTAGCGTGTTAAAAATCTACCACCATAATGTACAAGTCAAATTATTTGATTGGTTTCTAAAGCAGATAATGGACAACCTTGCTGGATCTGTTCTGACCTCTGCGAGTTAGCGACAGTATGTTGACAAGCTGTATTTGGCGTAGCCTGGAGATCCGACGTTAGATTCAACGTCGGGCATCATTGAGTGCGGATTAGGAAAGTTTCCTCTCACGACCTTTTACAAGCCAGAATGTTGAATCAAATGATATTTTAACTTACTTTACCGGTTTTTGCAGGTAGGAATGAGATGTACAATGTCCACAGAAAAGTATAATTACAAACTTTTCAAAGTGCTGGGAGTGCTGTTCAGATTTCTATCACCTGAAGCAGGGGTCCCCAACCGAGGGGGCACAATGTTTCGTTGGGTGGCAAAGGACCCTGTTTGTTTTGAGGGTTACATTTTAGATTTTTATAATTCGCGATTGTTTATACCGATCGTGCTTTAGGCTAGAAACAAGCAGTGAAATGCCAGAGGAAGACATGACGCGGATGCACATGGGAATATCATTGGTTTGTCTCTGTCATTCAGAAGCTGACCTACAAAAGGACCAACCGCACAGACAACTGGTAAAGTACGTTCAAATATAATTTTATTCAACATTCTGGCTTGTAGAGGTCGTGAGAGGAAACTTTCCAAACGCTCATTTATGCCCCGACGTAGAATTCAAAGAAATTCAACGTTGGGTTTCCAGGCTATGTTTGGGAGTGTTGGCTTGCTGTGCCAGCTAGCTGGCTTTTAACCTAACGTACCAGGCGGAGAAAGAGACGCCTGAGCAGAGTCCCCACAAGAAAAACAGAAACATCTGCTGGTTTTTAGCAAGACTGTTGTAGTCAATCAATTGCCTGCTGTCAAAAGTTGGTGGTCCACATAGCTAGCTGGGTAATAGTATTTTTCAAATGCATGCCAGACTACTCCAGTCTTTCATAACGAGGGCCATCAGTCCTGCACTGGCATTATAGCTATGTTGGCAAATAGTGTTCTCTCTTTTGATTACTGACGTGGACACTGGAAATGTGAAACTGCTGCGTGTTTGTGTAATAGGGTATGTTAAGTGTTATGTCAAGATGTTGGTTGTATATCATGGTGGCTAGTTAGGATGGATACATTATGCAACATGGAGGCTTGCTGTGTGTGTTGTGGGGTTTGACCAATACCCTGTCTGTGTGTGTTGTGGGGTTTGACCAATACCCTGTCTGTGTGTTTTATACCCAGACTGCTGTGTGTGTTGTGGGGTTTGACCAATACCCTGTCTGTGTGTTTTTATACCCAGACTGCTGTGTGTGTTGTGGGGTTTGACCAATACCCTGTCTGTGTGTGTTGTGGGGTTTGACCAATACCCTGTCTGTGTGTGTTGTGGGGTTTGACCAATACCCTGTCAGTGTGTTTTATACCCAGACTGCCGTGTGTGTTGTGGGGTTTGACCAATACCCTGTCAGTGTGTTTTATACCCAGACTGCCGTGCGTGTTGTGGGGTTTGACCAATACCCTGTCAGTGTGTTTTATACCCAGACTGCTGTGTGTGTTGTGGGGTTTGACCAATACCCTGTCTGTGTGTGTTGTGGGGTTTGACCAATACCCTGTCTGTGTGTTTTATACCCAGACTGCTGTGTGTGTTGTGGGGTTTGACCAATACCCTGTCTGTGTGTGTTGTGGGGTTTGACCAATACCCTGTCTGTGTGTTTTTATACCCAGACTGCCGTGCGTGTTGTGGGGTTTGACCAATACCCTGTCTGTGTGTGTTGTGGGGTTTGACCAATACCCTGTCTGTGTGTTTTTATACCCAGACTGCCGTGCGTGTTGTGGGGTTTGACCAACGTCCTGTTTCTGTTGTATCCTTCCCCAGGTGTGAGCTGCGACGCGTGTTTGAAAGGTAACTTCCGGGGGCGGCGGTACAAGTGTTTAATTTGCTACGACTACGACCTGTGTGCGTCGTGCTACGAGGGCGGAGCCACCACCACAATACACACGGCAGAGCACGCCATGCAGTGCATGCTAACCAGGGTCGACTTCGGTACGTACACACACACACACACTTACATATAAACACACAACTACACGCGCATCACAACTACACGCCACAAGTCACACTGCACTGCATACTAACCAGGGTCGACTTCAGCACGTGCATAGCTAATACAACCACACACTTTAACCAGACGACAAACACCACAACTACACACCCCGAGCGATGATTCTGCCTGCACTGATTCACTGTCCTCTGTCCTTCCAGAGATCTTTTCCATCCTGTCTAACCCTGTCCCCTACTCCCTAACCACTACTGTTCCATCCTGTCTAACCCTGTCCCCTACTCCCTAACCACTACTGTTCCATCCTGTCTAACCCTGTCCCCTACTCCCTAACCACTACTGTTCCATCCGTCCCCACCTCCCTAACCACTACTGTTCCATCCTGTCAACCCTGTCCCCTACTCCCCAAACCACTACTGTTCTATCCTGTCCCCTACGCCCTAACCACTACTGTTCCATCCTTCCTGTCCCCTACTCCTAACCACTTACTGTTCATCCTGTCCCTACTCCCTAACCACTACTGTCCATCCTGTCTAACCCTGTCCGCCCTACTCCCTAACCCCTACTGTTCTATCCTGTCTAAACCTGTCCCCTACTCCTAACCACTTTGTTCCATCCTGTCTAGAACCCTGGGCCCCTACTCCCTAACACTACGTTCCATCCTGTTCCCCCTACTCCCTAACCACTACTGTTCTCCTGTCTATTCCTGTCCCCTGCTCCCTACCACTAACTGTTTCCATCCTGTCTAACCCTGTGCCCCTACTTCCCTAACACTACTGTTCCATCCGTCTAACCCTGTCCCCTACTCCCTAACCACTACTGTTCCATCCGTCCTAAACCCTGTCCCTCTACTCCCTAACCACTACTGTTCCATCCTGTCTAACCCTGTCCCCTACTCCTACCACTATGTTCTCTTCAACCTGTCCCTACACCTACCACTACTGTTCCATCCTGTCTAACCCTGTCCCCTACTCCCTAACCACTACTGTTCTATCCTGTCTAACCCTGTCCCCTACTCCCTAACCACTACTGTTCCATCCTGTCTAACCTGTCCCCTACTCCCTAACCACTACTGTTCTCCGTTACTGTCCCTCTCCTAACACTACTGTCCGCCCTACTCCCTAACCACTACTGTTCCATCCTGTCATAACACTCTGTCCCCTACTCCCTAACCACTACTGTTCCATCCTGTCTAACCCTGTCCCCTACTCCCTAACCACTACTGTTCCATCCTGTCCCCTACTCCCTAACCACTACTGTTCCATCCTGTCCCCTACTCCCTAACCACTACTGTTCCATCCTGTCTAACCCTGTCCCCTACTCCCTAACCACTACTGTTCCATCCTGTCTAACCCTGTCCCCTACTCCCTAACCACTACTGTTCCATCCTGTCCCCTACTCCCTAACCACTACTGTTCCATCCTGTCCCCTACTCCCTAACCACTACTGTTCCATCCTGTCTAACCCTGTCCCCTACTCCCTAACCACTACTGTTCCATCCTGTCTAACCCTGTCCCCTACTCCCTAACCACTACTGTTCCATCCTGTCTAACCCTGTCCCCTACTCCCTAACCACTACTGTTCACTCCCCTACTCCTAACCACTACTGTCTCCGCCCTACTCCCTAACCACTACTTTCCATCCTGTTCCCCTACTCCCTAACCACTACTGTTCATCCTGTCTAACCCTGTCCCTACTCCCTAACCACTACTGTTCTCAGTCCTTCTAACCCTGTCTCCTATCTGTCCCTAACCCAACATACTGTTCTATCCTGTCCCCTACTCCCTAACCACTACTGTTCTATCCTGTCCCCTACTCCCTAACCACTACTGTTCCATCCTGTCCCCTACTCCCTAACCACTACTGTTCCATCCTGTCTAACCCTGTCCCCTACTCCCTAACCACTACTGTTCTATCCTGTCCCCTACTCCCTAACCACTACTGTTCCATCCTGTCCCCTACTCCCTAACCACTACTGTTCCATCCTGTCCCCTACTCCCTAACCACTACTGTTCCATCCTGTCCCCTACTCCCTAACCACTACTGTTCCATCCTGTCTAATCCCTGTCCCCTACTCCCTAACCCACTACTGTTCTATCCTGTCCCCTACTCCCTAACCACTATGTCATCCTGTCACCCTGTCCCCTACTCCCTAACCACTACTGTTCCATCCTGTCTAACCCTGTCCCCTACTCCCTAACCACTACTGTTCCATCCTGTCCCCTACTCCCTAACCACTACTGTTCATCGTACCTGTCCCCTACTCCCTAACCACTTACTGTTCCATCCTGTCCCCTACTCCCTAACCACTACTGTTCCATCCGTCTAACCCTATCTCCCTTAACCACTACTGTTCCATCCGTCTAACCCTGTCCCTACTCCCTAACCACTTACTGTTCCATCCTGTACCCTTACTACTCCTAACCAACTGTCTACTGATTCCACCCTGTCCCCACTTCCCTAAACCACTACTGTTCATCCTGTCTATACATATGCCACTGTCACCCTAACTCCCTAACCACTGTACTGTCTAAGCCAGGTCCTATCCCTAACCCCTACGTGGGTTGTATCATTCAACTGTCAACCACTACTCCAAACCATACTGTTCCATCCATGTTACCTGCCTCCTCTCCTAGACCTGACGGTGAGTTGCCTATACTGTCAACCCTGCTTTCCCGCTACTTCGCGGGCTATACGATGACTGTCCACAGACACTACTAGCACCAAGACCACTACTGTGGTTCCATCCAGTGTCTGACTGGCTCTTCCTACAGGACATGTATAGCTATGATCCTTGTTAACTGTTATCCACCATAGTGTATAAGACACAGGTTAAGGCATTCTCAAGCCATACAGTAGACATGGATTGTGTATGTGTGCCATTCAGAGGGTGAATGGGCAAGACAAAACATTTAAGTGTCTTTGAACGGGGTATGGTAGTAGGTGCCAGGCGCACCGGTTTGTGTCAAACCCAGTAGCGTTGCAGTTATTTTCACGCTCAACAGTTTCCCGTGTGTATCAAGAATGGTCCACCACCCAAAGGACATCCAGCCAACTTGACACAACTGTGGGAAGCATTGGAGTCAACATGGGCTGTTGAGGCTGTTCTGAGGGCAAAAGGGGGTGCAACTCAATATTAGGAAGGTGTTCCTAATGTTTTGTACACTGGGTATATTACTGTATAGTATTATATAAGAACACAGAGACCTCTCTACAGGACCACATGGCTGCAGAGCACACAGAGACCTCAGAGGTGGTGAGTGGACCACTACCTTTTTTGGGGCCCCGGTCTTAGCCATGAAAACATGAGTGAGTCTTTAGGCCAAGCACCGGTGTAAATCCCTGCAGTGGAAAAGAGACATCAGTGTTTCCTCTAGATTCTTTCCAGGCAGGAGGGAGGTGCAAAATGTCCCCAAAGCAATGGAGGCCATGTTCCGTAAAACGAACAGCATCCAAAAAGACAAGTCTGGCTGTGAAGTGTTTTCAAATGCATTTGATGTGGAGCATGCTCAGATGGCTGTGTGTTCTACCAGGGGTTGGAACCGATTCATGGAACAGAACCGATTCATGGAACAGTACTGGCTGAAGTTTGCCAGTGAACATCTGAATGATTCAGAGGAGAACTGGGTGGAAGTGTTGTGGTCAGATGAAACCAAAATCGAGCTCTTTGGCATCAACTCAACTCGCCGTGTTTGAAGGAGGAGGAATGCTGCCTATGACCCCAAGAACACCATCCCCACCGTCAAACATGGAGGTGGAAACATTATGCTTTGGGGGTGGTTTTCTGCTAAGGGGACAGGACAACTTCACCGCATCAAAGGGACGATGGACGGGGCCATGTACCATCAAATCTTGGGTGAGAACCTCCTTCCCTCAGCCAGGGCATTGAAAATGGGTCGTGGATGGGTATTCCAGCATGACAATGACCCAAAACACACGGCCAAGGCAACAAAGGTGTGGCTCAAGAAGAAGCACATTAAGGTCCTGGAGTGGCCTAGCCAGTCTCCAGACCTTAATCCCATAGAAAATCTGTGGAGGGAGCTGAAGGTTCGAGTTACCAAACGTCAGCCTCGAAACCTTAATGACTTGGAGAAGATCTGCAAAGAGGAGTGGGACAAAATCCCTCCTGAGATGTGTGCAAACCTGGTGGCCAACTACAAGAAACGTCTGACCTCTGTGATTGCCAACAAGGGTTTTGCCACCAAGTACTAAGTCATGTTTTGCAGAGGGGTCAAATACTTATTTCCCTCATTAAAATGCTAATCAATTTATAACATTTTTGACATGCGTTTTTCTGGATTTTTTTGTTGTTATTCTGTCTCTCACTGTTCAAATAAACCTACCGTTAAAATTATAGACTGATCATGTCTTTGTCAGTGGGCCAATGTACAAAATCAGCAGGGGATCAAATACGTTTTTCCCTCACTGTACATGGAACAGTACAGGAAAAGAACGAACATTTTCATGGCGCAGAATCATACACACAATTATATATTTATATATTACTTTGGAAGTATGCTTGGGGTCATTGTCCATTTGGAAGACCCATTTGCGACCAAGCTTTAACTTCCTGACTGATGTCTTGAGATGTTGCTTCAATATATCCACATAATGTTCCTTCCTCATGATGCCATCTATTTTGTGAAGTGCACCAGTCCCTCCTGCAGCAAAGCACCCCCACATCATGATGCTTTCACAGCCGTGCTTCACGGTTGGGATGGTGTTCTTCGGCTTGCAAACTTTCCCCTTTTTCCTCCAAACATAACGATGGTCATTATGGCCAAACAGTTCTATTTTTGTTTCATCAGACCAGAGGACATTTCTCCAAAAAGTACGATCTTTGTCCCCATGTGCAGTCGCAAACTGTAGTCTGGCTTTTTTATGGCGGTTTTGGAGCAGTGGCTTCTTCCTTGCTGAGCGGCCTTTCAGGTTATGTCGATATAGGACTCGTTTTATTGTGGATATAGATACTTTTGTACCTGTTTCCTCCAGCATCTTCACAAGATCCTTTGCTGTTGTTCTGGGATTCAAATCAAATCAAATCAAATTTTATTGGTCACATGCGCCGAATACAACAGGTGCAGACATTGCAGTGAAATGCTTACTTACAGCCCTTAACCAACAGTGCATTTATTTTAAACAAAAAAAGTAAGAATAAAACAACAACAACAAAAAAGTGTTGAGAAAAAAAGAGCAGAAGTAAAATAAAATGACAGTAGGGAGGCTATATATACAGTAAAATAAAGTGACAGTAGGGAGGCTATATATACAGGGGGGTACCGTTGCAGAGTCAATGATTTGCACTTTACGCACCAAAGCACGTTCATCTCTAGGAGACAGAAAGCGTCTCCTTCCTGAGCGGTATGAAGGCTGCGTGGTCCCATGGTGTTTATACTTGCATGCTATTGTTTGTACAGATGAACGTGGTACCTTCAGGTGTTTGTAAATTGCTCCCAAGGATGAACCAGACTTGTGGAGGTCTACAATTCTTTTTCTGAGGTCTTGGCTGATTTCTTTTGATTTTCCCATGATGTCAAGCAAAGAGGCACTGAGTTTGAAGGTAGGCCTTGAAATACATCCACAGGTACACCTCCAATTGACTCAAATGATGTCAATTAGCCTATCAGAAACTTCTAAAGCCATGACATCATTTTCTGGAATTTTGCAAGCTGTTTAAAGGCACAGTCTACTTAGTGTATGTAAACTTCTGACCCACTGGAATTGTGATACAGTGAATTATAAGTGAAATAATCTGTCTGTGTATTAATCTAAAATGTGCAAGAATTTCTAAAAACCTGTTTTTGTTGTCTGAATACTTATGTATATAAGATATTTCTGTTTATTATTTTTAATAAAGTAGCAGAAATTTCAAAATAACTGTTTTCGATTTGCATATGGGGTATTGTGTGTAGATTGATGAGGATTTGTTTTTATTTAATCAATTTTAGAATAAGGCTGTAACGTAACAAAATGTGGAAAAAGTCAAGGGGTCTCAATACTTTCCGATTGCATTGTATGTGTGTATATACAGTGGGGAAAAAAAGTATTTAGTCAGCCACCAATTGTGCAAGTTCTCCCACTTAACAAGATGAGAGAGGCCTGTAATTTTCATCATAGGTACATGTCAACTATGACAGACAAATTAAGATTTTTTTTCTCCAGAAAATCACATTGTAGGATTTTTTATGAATTTATTTGCAAATTATGGTGGAAAATAAGTATTTGGTCACCTACAAACAAGCAAGATTTCTGGTTCTCACAGACCTGTAACTTCTTCTTTAAGAGGCTCCTCTGTCCTCCACACGTTACCTGTATTAATGGCACCTGTTTGAACTTGTTATCAGTATAAAAGACACCTGTGCACAACCTCAAACAGTCACACTCCAAACTCCACTATGGCCAAGACCAAAGAGCTGTCAAAGGACACTGCACCAGGCTGGGAAGACTGAATCTGCAATAGGTAAGCAGCTTGGTTTGAAGAAATCAACTGTGGGAGCAATTATTAGGAAATGGAAGACATACAAGACCACTGATAATCTCCCTCGATCTGGGGCTCCACGCAAGATCTCACCCCGTAGGGTCAAAATGATCACAAGAACGGTGAGCAAAAATCCCAGAACCACACGGGGGGACCTAGTGAATGACCTGCAGAGAGCTGGGACCAAAGTAACAAAGCCTACCATCAGCAACACACTACGCCGCCAGGGACTCAAATCCTGCAGTGCCAGACGTGTCCCCCTGCTTAAGCCAGTACATGTCCAGGCCCGTCTGAAGTTTGCTAGAGTGCATTTGGATGATCCAGAAGAGGATTGGGAGAATGTCATATGGTCAGATGAAACCAAAATATAACTTTTTGTTAAACTCAACTCGTCGTGTTTGGAGGACAAAGAATGCTGAGTTGCATCCAAAGAACACCATACCTACTGTGAAGCATGGGGGTGGAAACATCATGCTTTGGGGCTGTTTTTCTGCAAAGGGACCAGGACGACTGATCCGTGTAAAGGAAAGAATGAATGGGGCCATGTATCGTGAGATTTTGAGTGAAAACCTCCTTCCATCAGCAAGGGCATTGAAGATGAAACGTGGCTGGGTCTTTCAGCATGACAATGATCCCAAACACACCGCCCGGGCATCGAAGGAGTGGCTTCGTAAGAAGCATTTCAAGGTCCTGGAGTGGCCTAGCCAGTCTCCAGATCTCAACCCATAGAAAATCTTTGGAGGGAGTTGAAAGTCCGTGTTGCCCAGCGACAGCCCCAAAACATCACTGCTCTAGAGGAGATCTGCATGGAGGAATGGGCCAAAATACCAGCAACAGTGTGTGAAAACCTTGTGAAAACTTACAGAAAATGTTTGACCTGTGTCATTGCCAACAAAGGGTATATAACAAAGTGTTGAGAAACTTTTGTTATTGACCAAATACTTATTTTCCACCATAATTTGCAAATAAATTCATAAAAAATCCTACAATGTGATTTTCTGGATTTATTTTTCTCATTTTGTCTGTCATAGTTGACGTGTACCTATGATGAAAATTACAGGCCTCTCTCATCTTTTTAAGTGGGAGAACTTGCACAATTGGTGGCTGACTAAATACTTTTTTCCCCAACTGTATACAGTGCCTTCGGAAAGTGTTCAGATTCCTTGACTTTTTCCATATTTTGTTACTTTACAGCCTTATTCTAAAATTGATTAAATAAAACAATTTCCTCATCAATCTACACACAATACGCCATAATGACAAAGCGAAAACAGTTATTTTGAAATTTCTGCAACTTTATTAAAAATAATAAACAGAAATATCTTATATACATAAGTATTCAGACCCTTTGCTATGAGAGTCGAAATTGAGCTCAGGTGCATCCTGTTTCCATTGATCATCCTTGAGATGTTCCTACAACTTGATTGGAGTCTACCTGTGGTAAATTCAATTGATTGGACATGATTTGGAAAGGCAAACACCTGTCTATATAAGGTCCCACAGTTGACAGTGCATGTCAGAGCAAAAACCAAGCCATGAGGTCAAAGGAATTGTCCGTAGAGCTCTGAGACAGGATTGTGTCGAGGTACAGATCTGGGGAAGGTTACAAAAAAATGTCTGCAGCATTGAAGGTCCCCAAGAACACAGTGGCCTCCATCATTCTTAAATGGAATAAGTTTGGAACCACCAAGACTCTTCCTAAAACTGTCCGCCTGGTCAAACTGAGCAATCGGGGGAGAAGGGCCTTGATCAGGGAGGTGACCAAGAACCCAATGGTCACTCTAACAGAGCTCTAGAGTTCCTCTGTGGAGATGGGAGAACCTTCCAGAAGGACAACCATCTCTGCAGCACTCCACCAATCAGGCCTTTATGGTAGACTGGCCAGACAGAAGCCACTCCTCACTAAAAGGCACATGACAGCCCGCTTGGAGTTTGCCAAAAGGCACCTAAAGACTCTCAGACCATGAGAAACAAGATTCTCTGGTCTGATAAAATCAAGATTCAACTCTTTGGCCCGAATGTCAAACGTCACGTCTGGAGGAAACCTGGCACCATCCCTAGAGTGAAGGGTGATTTATTAACTACAAAAAATGTATTTTATTTTTACTCTGGTGGCGCTCTGCACACTCAAGCTTGTTAAGCCAACTCTTTGAAGTTCAAAGTTCCTTCATAGAAGCCGCTCCTTTGTTGGTATAATTATTTTGGCCTAATTCAGATAATGCATGTCATAACAAGATGCCCTGCGCCTTCTCCTCCACTCTCTCTCGCTCACTTCCCACCCGCAAAATTTCATTCGCATCTCGCGCCCGACACTTGTCTGTCCAATGCATGTAAACATCTTGCCCGCTCCATAGCAAGCTGCTCTATCCGCACTGATTGGTAGGTAATTTAATGTCTAGGTAAATGTAAAAATAAATAAATCAAATCTGAATTTTTAAAAGGAATTATCTAAACCGTTACTTTTTTTCCCCCAGTTCGTACCGGTTCAGAACATTATTTTGCTGGTCAGAACAGTGGAACATGAAAAACAAAAAAAAATGTGTTCTGTTCAGAACTAAACGATTGGAAAATAATTGAGGTTCCAACCTTTTGTTCTCTCTCTCCCTCCAGATCTGTCCAATATGTGCTGCGCTGCCTGGCGGAGACCCTAATCACGTGACGGACGACTTTGCTGCTCATCTTACACTTGAACACAGAGCACCCAGAGACTTGATATCCTTTACACTCAGGGCGTTTCTCAATATGCATACTACCGTGCTCCGAGGATGCATCGGTCGAAGAATGAGTCCAAATCAAAGTATGCGAAACGGAGCACTGAAGGCACTTCTCAGATGCGTACTCCGCTTGTACACATTTCGAAGCATGCATCAATGCAAGCTTCAATGAAAAGCATGGACATAAATGTGACGCAAACACGTAAGAAACGATGTAAAATTTCTCAATCAGTGCTGAGCATTGTTTGGGCTGAAGCGAGAGAAAATAATCTGACCTCTGAATGAAATGTTGCCCATTCACGTCTCATATCTTACCTGACTACAATAATGTATCTTGATACGTTAATAAATACATTGTTAATTTTGGCATGTTTACCTGCCTACAATACCCACTGGAGTGTGCATAGATCGCAACCCCATAGTAGGTCAATAGGGCTAGCTAGCTAGCTAACCACAGAGTCCCGACTCCCCTCCTCTCACTTCCAAAAATGTAATCTGACAGAGAGGTGATAATATCAGCAAACCACAACTGATCACCTGAAGTCACGATATATATATATATATATACTACCGTTCAAAAGTTTGGGGTCACTTAGAAATGTCCTTGTTTTTCATGAAAACATACATGAAATGAGTTTGAATAGGAAATATAGCAAAATGCATAGGATATGTAGTCATTGACAAGGTTAGAAATAATGATTTTTAATTGAAATAATAATTATGTCCTTCCAACTTTGCTTTCGTCAAAGAATCCTCCATTTACAGCAATTACACCCCTGCAGATCTTTGCCATTCTAGTTGTCAATTTGTTGAGGTAATCTGAAGAGATTTCACCCCATGCTTCCTGAAGCACCTCCCACAAGTTGGATTGGCTTGATGGGCACTTCTTACGTACCATTCGGTCAAGCTGCTCCCACAACAGCTCAATAGGGTTGAGGTCCGGTGACTGTGTTGGCCACTCCATTATAGACAGAATACCAGCTGCTTCTTCCCTAAATAGTTCTTGCATAGTTTGGAGCTGTGCTTTGGGTCGTTGTCCTGTTGTAGGAGGAAATTGGCTCCAATCAAGCGCCGTCCACAGGGTATGGCATGGCGTTGCAAAATGGAGTGATAGCCTTCCTTCTTCAAGATCCCTTTTACCCTGTACAAATCTCCCACTTTACCACCCCCAGACCATCACATTGCCTCCACCATGCTTGACAGATGGCATCAAGCACTCCTCCAGCATCTTTTCATTTGGACTGCGTCTCACAAATGTTCTTCTTTGTGATCCGAAAACCTCAAACTTCGTCTGTCCATAACACTTTTTTCCAATCTTCCTCTGTCCAGTGTCTGTGTTTTTTTTGCCCATCTAAATATTTTCTTTTTATTGGCCAGTCTCAGATATGGCTTTTTCTTTGCAACTCGGCCTAGAAGGTCAGCATCCCGGAGTCGCCTCTTCACTGTTGACGTTGAGACTGGTGTTTTGCGGGTACTATTTAATGAAGCTGCCAGTTGAGGACCTGTGAGGCGTCTGTTTCTCAAACTAGACACTAATGTATTTGTCCTCTTGCTCAGTTGTGCACCGGGGCCTCCCACTCCTCTTTCTATTCTGGTTAGAGACAGTTTGCGCTGTTCTGTGAAGGGAGTAGTACAGAGCGTTGTATGAGATCTTCAGTTTCTTGGCAATTTCTCGCATGGAATAGCCTTCATTTCTCAGAACAAGAATAGACTGACGAGTTTCAGAAGAAAGTTATTTGTTTCTGGCCATTTTGATTCTGTAATCGAACCCACAATTGCTGATGCTCCAGATACTCAACTAGTCTCAAGAAGGCCAGTTTTATTGCTTCTTTAAATCAGCACAACAGTTTTCAGCTGTGCTAACATAATTGCAAAAGGGTTTTCTAATGATCAATTAGCCTTTTAAAAATGATAAACTTGGATTAGCAAACACAATGTGCCATTGGAACACACAGGACTGATGGTTGCTGATAACGGGCCTCTGTACGCCTATGTAGATATTCCAGCTACAATAGCCATTTACAACATTAACAATGTCTACACTGTATTTCTGATCAATTTGATGTTATTTTAATGGACAAAAAAATTGCTTTTCTTTAAAAAACAAGGACATTTCTAAGTGACCCCAAACTTTTGAATGGTAGTGTACACACTCACTCACTCACTCACTACCGGTCAAAAGTTTTTTTGAACACCTAGTCATTCAAGGGTTTTTCTTTATTTTTACTATTTTCTACATTGTAGAATAATAGTGAAGACATCAAAACTATGAAATAACACATATGGAATCATGTAGTAACCAAAAAAGTGTTAAACAAATCAAAATATATTTTATGTTTGAGGTTCTTCAAATAGCCACACTTTGCACACTCTTGGCATTCTCTCAAACAGCTTCACCTGGAATGCTTTTCCAACAGTCTTGAAGGAGTTCCCACATATGCTGAGCACTTGTTGGCTGCTTTTCCTTCACTCTGCAGTCCGACTCATCCCAAACCATCTCAATTGGGGTGAGGTCGGGGGATTGTGGAGGCCAGGTCATCTGATGCAGCACTCCATCACTCTCCTTCTTGGTAAAATAGCCCTTACACAGCCTGGAGGTGTGTTGGGTCATTGTCCTGTTGAAAAACAAATGATAGTCCCACTAAGCCCAAACCAGATGGGATGGCGTATCACTGCAGAATGCTGTGGTAGCCAAGCTGGTTAAGTGTGCCTTGAATTCTAAATAAATCACAGACAGTGTCACCAGCAAAGTACCCCCACACCATAACACCTCCTCCACCATGCTTTACGGTGGGAAATACACATGCGGAGATCATCCGTTCACCCACACGACGACTTACAAAGACACGGCGGTTGGAACCAAAAATCTCCAATTTGGACTCCAGACCAAAGGACAAATTTCCACCGGTCTAATGTCCATTGCTCGTGTTTCTTGGCCCAAGCAAGTCTCTTCTTCTTATTGGTGTCCTTTAGTAGTGGTTTCTTTGCAGCAATTCGACCAAGAAGGCCTGATTCACGCAGTCTCCTCTGAACAGTTGATGTTGAGATGTGTCTGTTACTTGAACTCTGTGAAGCATTTATTTGGGCTGCAATTTGTGAGGCTGGTAACTCTAATGAACGTATCCTCTGCAGCAGAGATAACTCTGGGTCTTCCATTCCTGTGGCGGTCCTCATGAGAGCCAGTTTCATCATAGCGCTTGATGGTTTTTGCGACTGCACTTGAAGAAACTTTCAAAGTTCTTGAAATGTTCTGTATTAACTGACCTTCATGTCTTAAAGTAATGATGGACTGTCATTTCTCTTTGCTTATTTGAGCTGTTCTTGCCAAAATATGGACTTAGCCCTATTTGGTAAAATACCATCTTCTGTATAGATTTTTCAGATCTACATATGTTTGACACATAACATTAGTTACAGAGGGTAGTCGAGGTCCAGGAAAAGGCCATCATCGATGAACAGCCGACATGTTGATGACGCAATTTACTCCAAAAGGTAACGCAGTAGCACCGTAGTGCTTCTCAAATGTTAAATGTATGCGTTCTCCACGCTCCTCATAAGAACATGCTCGGTGCGGAAAACGGTAGTATGCATATTGAGAAACACCCTGAGACTACTGTCTACAGTACACAGTCTAACCCTAACCCAGATACTTGAAATCCTTTACACTCCGCCTACTACTCCAGAAAAGGATAAGCCCCCCCCTCTGAGCCTGGTTCCTCTCTAGGTTTCTTCATTATAGGGAGTTTTTCCCCAATGTGCGTCTGCTTTGCTTTGCTCTTCGGTGTCTAGTCCAGGTAACTGTGAAGTACGTTCGTTGTAACAACTGCTGATGTAAAAAAAAAAAAAAAAAAAAAGCGCTTTATAAAATACATTGGATTGTCTTCTCTGCAGGACAGTCTTAACGCTAAAGGCGTCCGCATGCTTCCCATCTGAAACAGTTTGTGCATGTGTTATGATGACATTTCCTGGAGTTTTTGTTCATTTTGGTCTTTGTCAGGGTTTTTTCCCCCCGGCTGTTCATGCACACATTCTTTTCTCGTCGGTCATTGGTCAACAGTAGGGATTCTTTAATGAAGCGTTTGTTGTCGTTCAACGACAGACAAATCGTTTTCATGCACAGTTTTTCATTTGAGAAATGCTGCACCTAACATCTTAGTTAGATGTAAACTTGCGCAACTAAGATCTCCTCAGGGGAAAAAACGTCAATTTAATGACAGGTTTCTTGTGTTACCCGTCAAGATGGTCAAACGGTACAACTGCTGCTTTTTTTTCTTTTTTTTCAAGTTGAAGGTCTTAACTCTTAACTCCGAGACTTGATACCATTTTATGTGTAGACTACTATTCTACTGCACTGCAATTAATTATATAGAATTATCTAATTCTAAGGGGGATTCTACTACGTAACATGTCTAACAAATGGAAACTCCCCCTTCAGGGAAGCAAAAGGTCAATGTAAAACTTGCTGGAACCACAGGGCCATCTGCTGGACAGCACTGAGTACTACAACATACTGTGTGTGTATCAGTTTAGCCTGTTGTGTGTTTGAGATCGGGGACGGAGAGGGAGAGTGTTTTTATATACTGAACAAAAAATATAAAACGCAACATGCAACAATTTCAAAGATTTTACTGAGTTACAGTTCATATAAAGGAAGTCAGTCAATTGAAATACATTCATTAGACCCTAATCTATGGATTTCACATGACTGGAATACAGATGTGCATCTGTTGGTCACAGATACCTTTAAAAAAAGGTAGGGGCGTGGATCAGAAAACCAGTCCGCATCTGGTGTGGCCACGATTTTCCCCATGCAGCGCGACACATCTCCTTCGCATAGAGTTGATCAGGCTGTTGATTGTGGCCTGTGGAATGTTGTCCGACTCCTCTTCAATGGTTGTGCGAAATTGCTGGATATTGGCGGGAACTGGAACACGCTGTCGTACACGTCGATCCAGAGCATCCCAAACATGTTCAATGGGTGACATGTCTGAGTACGCAGGCCATGGAAGAACTGGGTAATTTTTAGGAATTGTGTACAGATCCTTGCGACATGGGGCCGTATATTATCATGCTGAAACATGAGGTGATGGCGGCAGATGAATGGCACGACAATGGGCCTCAGGATCTCGTCACGGTATCTCTGTGCATTCAAATTGCCATCGTTGAAATGCAATTGTGTTCGTTGTCCGTAGCTTATGCTTATAACCCCTCCGCCACCATGGGGGTACACCGTTAACAACGTTGACATCAGCAAACCACTCGCACTCACGACGCAATACACGTAGTGTGAGGCCGGTTGGACGTACTGCCAAATTCTCTAAAATGAGGTTGGAGGCGGCTTATGGTAGAGAAATTAACATAAAATTATCTGGCAACAGCTCTGGTGGACGTTCCTGCAGTCAGCATGCCAATTGCACGCTCCCTCAACTTGAGACATCTGTGGCATTGTGTTGTGTGACTAAACTGCACATTTTAGAGTGGCCTTTTATTGTCCCCAGCACAAGGTACACCTGTGTAATGATCATGCTGTTTAATCAGCTTCTTGATATGCCACACCTGTCAGGTGGATGGATTATCTTGGCAAAGCAGAAATGCTCACTAACAGGGATGTAAACAAATTTGGGCACAACATTTGAGAGAAATAAGCTTTTTGTGCGTATGGACAATTTCTGGGATGTTTTATTTCAGCTCATGAAACATGGGACCAAGACTTTACATGATGAGTTTTTATATTTTTGTTCAGTGTATATTCATGACATGTCCATGATGTTCCTTGACGGTGTTGCTCCACGATGAGTCGAGCGGGGTGCGGCACGTGCGTCGGATGTTCCACCCGGGTCGGGGTCTGGGGGGGCAGAGGGCCCGGCGCTCCAACATGCACTTCACCTCCTCAACCTCCGGGGGGGGCACTACCACACAGACCTCTACCCAGAGCTCCAACCACAACAGGGAGGCCATGGATCCTATAGCAGGTAGGGGGAAAGGGGAAGGGGCGGGGGTGGGGGGAAGGGGAAGGGGGAAGGGGGGGCTGGTTTGGAGATGACATAGCCTAATACAGAAGCATGTCTGTTCTACAAAATATGTATCCCAAAATGTATTCTCAAATTATTTACAATGCCTTCAGAAAGTATTCACACCCCTTGACTTTTTACCACATTTTGTGTTACAGACAGAATTTTAAAATGGATTAAATTACTGGCCTACACACAATACTCCATACTGTCAGAGTGAAGGATGTTTTTAGAAATTAATTACATAGCCTTAATTTCAGTTTTACAAATGGAAAAACTGAAATGTCTTGAGTCAATAAGTATTCAACCCCTTTGTTATGGCAAGCCTAAATAAGTTCAGGAGTACAAATGTGCTTAACATAATATTTTGCATGGAATCACACTGTGTGCAATAATAGTGTTTAACATTATTTTTTTAATGACTACCTAATCTCAGTACCCCACACATATAATTTTGGAAGGTCTCTCAGTCAACCGTGAATTTCAAACGCAAAGACCAGGGAGGTTTTCCAATGCCTCGCAAAGAAAGACACCTATTGGTAGATGGGTAAAAAAAAAAAAGCAGACATTGAATATCCCTTTGATCATGGTGAAGTTATTAATTACACTTTGGATGGTGTATCAATACACCAAGTCACTACAAAGATTCAGGTGTCCTTCCTAACACAGTTGCCGGAGAGGAAGGAAACCGTATTGACTCGGTTGTGAATACTTACGCAAATGAGATTCCTGTGTTTTCATTTTCTATAAATTTGCAAACATTTCTAAATATGTTTTCACTGTCATTATGGGGTATTGTGTGTAAATGGGTCAGAAAAAAAACATATTTTAATCAGTTTTGAATTCAGGCTGTAACACAACAAAATGTGGAATAAGTCAAGGGGTATGAATACTTTCTGAAGGTTGCGCTGTGTGCACTGAAATGACACGCACTGAAATGACATGCATGATTGTTGCTGACGCTCTGATTTTCAGTTGAAGAGAATTAAATAGTCTGTCATATGCACCACAATGGCGCTAAACTCAAGCAGCTGTAGCGGCTGGTAAAGTCATTCAAAGCCTCTACTTTGCAGATCAATTCTTCACATTCATTGTTTTAAACAAAATCTTAAAAATCACAACACTGGTAAACCGTGGTTGACGGTTTACCAGTGTTGTGATTTTTAAGATTTTGTTTAAAACAATGAATGTTGAGAATTGATCTGCACTGTATGTTCCTGGTCCTCTGTAGCTCAGCTGGTAGAGCAGGGCGCTTGTAACGCCAAGGTAGTGGGTTCGATCCCCGGGACCACCCATACACAAAAAATGTATGCACGCATGACTGTAAGTCGCTTTGGATTAAAGCGTCTGCTAAATGGCATATTATTATAATTAATTATTTATGTTTGTTAGCTAGCCAGACAGTTTTAGAGAAATGATTCCATACATATTTTCAAATTAACTGGCAATATGCCAACATTCCATTCAAACAATGCAGTCAATTCACAGCCATAAACTGGCTGAAATCAGTTGATGGGACGGAGACGAGTTGTAAATGCAACAAATAATTTCCCAAGAAAACAAAATCTGAGACATTTATGGTCTCTTTACAGATGTTAAATTGGTATAAAACCCATATAAACTGTATTTATAATTATATGACAATATTTTAGGTTGACTATATAATTCCATTACACAATTTACACCATTACACAATGCCTAGGCAACCAAAGACTCGTTTGCTAAAACACCTTGCTTGTTTCAGCAAGGAGTAAGGAAGTTTCATCACCTTGTAGAGTCCCATTTTACAGTAGAAAATGGACTCAACCGCCCGAATGCCTGGCCGTCCAGTCATTATTCAGCTGTTCATTACACAGACAAAAACAAGGGGGGTTGTGTGTAACTGCCAAAATAAAGGAAACCCACAACATAAAGTGTCTTAACAGGGCGTTGGGCCACCACGAGCCGGAACAGCTTCAATGCACCTTGGCATAGATTCTACAAGAGTGGAACTCTTATTTTCTTCCACAAGAAATTCCATCATTTGGTGTTTTGTTGACGCTGGTGGAAAAACACTGTCTCAGTCGCCAACCCCAGAATCTCCCATTAGTGTTCAATTGGGTTGAGCTCTGGTGACTGAGACGGCCCATGGCATATGGTTTACATAGTTTTCATGCTCATCAAACCATTCAGTGACCACTCGTGCCCTGTGGATGGGGGCATTGTCATCCTATGGGGGCATAGCCATGGTGGCCAAAATAATGGCCTGCCCACACGAAAACACACAGATTCTTCAAAAATAATATGCATTGTGCAACACACACCATTAGTACACACCCACCCAAGGCCCTTATAGACCAGTCCAGACAGTAAAGACAGTGTTTGTGTGTCGGTGTTGCAATGACACATTCCTTAAAAGTTATCCTAATCCTGATTTTAATCCAGTTGGTTCAATGCTGTGTTTTAACGGCTGGCACCGGCCCGGACAGACAAGTCAGACTTAAGCCAGACCAAAGTATTTGACTCCTGTTGGAAACACCATATTTCACTCTCTCAGGGCTGGTTAGGGTTGAATAATATGATTTTATTTAACCCTCCTCCTCCCTCCCTCCCTGTCTCTTCGCCCCCGCCTCGCAGAGCTGCTGTCCCAGTTGTCAGGGGTGCGTAGGTCGGCGGGCGGCCAGCTGAGTTCGGGTCCTTCAGCCTCCCGGCTACAGCAGCTCCAGGTAGGTAGTCCAGAGGAGGGTCAGCAACCAGAGGGTCGACAGTTCGAATCCCAGCTCCGACGAAGAATCCCAGTAGCCTAGAATCTAAGATGCCATTTTGCCCTTGAGTGAAGCGCTCAACCCTTCATCATTGTCTTCTACGACTTCTTCCTCTCCTTCTTCCTCTCCTCCTTCGTCATCTTCATCCTCATCCTCCTCTGTGTTCTTCCTCCTCCTCCTCTGTGTTCCTCCTCCTCCTCCTCTGTGTTCTTCCTCCTCCTCCTCTGTGTTCTTCCTCCTCCTCCTCTGTGTTCTTCCTCCTCCTCCTCTGTGTTCTTCCTCCTCCTCCTCTGTGTTCTCCTCCTCCTCCTCTGTGTTCTTCCTCCTCCTCCTGTGTTCTTCCTCCTCCTCCTCTGTGTTCTTCCTCCTCCTCCTCTGTGTTCTTCCTCCTCCTCCTCTGTGTTCTTCCTCCTCCTCCTCTGTGTTCTTCCTCCTCCTCCTCTGTGTTCTTCCTCCTCCTCCTCTGTGTTCTTCCTCCTCCTCCTCTGTGTTCTTCCTCCTCTGTGTTCTTCCTCCTCCTCTGTGTTCTTCCTCCTCCTCCTCTGTGTTCTTCCTCCTCCTCCTCTGTGTTCTTCCTCCTCCTCTGTGTTCTTCCTCCTCCTCTGTGTTCTTCCTCCTCCTCTGTGTTCTTCCTCTTCCTCTGGATGCAGCTCCAGCTGGATCGGCAGCAGACCCAGGCTGCCAGACAGCAGTTGGAGATGTCCCGGAGCACCTCGCAACGCGGCAGCCGCACCTCCACCCAGGCAGGGCTGAACGCCAACCCCAACCCTGGGCATCACAACGCCAACCCTGGCTCCAACTCCTTCAACAACCCTAGTCCCAACCCGGTGCAGCACGTGTCCAACACACACACACAGAACAGCAACTCCCAGTTCCTTCTCAACAGGTTGGCAGCTGTCTGCTACACACACACAGAACAGCAACTCCCAGTTCCTTCTCAACAGGTTGGCAGCTGTCTGCTACACACACACAGAACAGCAACTCCCAGTTCCTTCTCAACAGGTTGGCAGCTGTCTGCTACACACACACAGAACAGCAACTCCCAGTTCCTTCTCAACAGGTTGGCAGCTGTCTGCTACACACACACACAGAACAGCAACTCCCAGTTCCTTCTCAACAGGTTGGCAGCTGTCTGCTACACACACACAGAACAGCAACTCCCAGTTCCTTCTCAACAGGTTGGCAGCTGTCTGCTACACACACACAGAACAGCAACTCCCAGTTCCTTCTCAACAGGTTGGCAGCTGTCTGCTACACTTCATTTAACCTTCATTTATTCTGGTTGTTCTCATTGAGATCAAATCTCTTGAGCGAGAGACTTGTTCTTAGGCTTCTGTCTGTCTGCTACTCTCCCCTCCCTCACTCACTCTCCCCTTTCTCCCTCTCCCCCCCTCCCTCCCTCCCTCTCCCCTCCCTCCCTCCCTCCCCCTCTCCCCTCCCTCCCTCCCCCTCCCCCCTCCCCCCTCCCCCTCCCCCCTCCCCCAGACTGAGCGAGGAGAGGTTGTCGGAGGCGGAGCTCCAGCTGAGAGAGGGCCAGTGGGCGGACCGCTCCCTCTTCGTCACGGAGCTCCTCCTCTCCACCCTGATAGCCAATTCCGACAACAGCGAAGACGACGATCTCCATGACTGCCACGACGCCGTGACGCGAGGCTCGGACGCCTTCGCTGCCTTTGGAGACATGGGCTGCGTGGAGGTCATGACCTTAGACGTGGCGGTGGAAAACCTCAACCTCCGAGAACAGAAGAATGCGCAGCAGCCCCTGGCTTTTCCGCCACTTTGACCAAACCACCCAACGGAGAAGAAAATACTTTGTCTTTTCGGCTTTGGTTCATGTTTTATGTTTCGGAGTGGGGTGATTGTCATCTCATCTGTCCCCCCCCCCCCCCCCCCTGTTCTATTATGTTGTGTACTTGACAGGACCCAGAGGAGAGAATATGAACGTGAGAGAGCGAGTGTCGTGAGCAAGAGCAATTGAACAATATAATAAATGTTTATGAAAGAAAGCCGATAATCAACTCCACATGAAGCCGTGTTTGACTGCTTGCCCCCAGCAGGTGAACGTAGGTCCTCAGACACACAGGAGGAGGACAGACGGATGATCTCAGTTGCATAATCCTCTCTCCTGGTCTCCTCAAAACCCGTTGGATAAGAAGGCCAGAGGTCCCTCCCCTCGGCACATCCTCCAATGGGTTTAGAGATGGAGAGAGGATGTGAGGAGTATGCAACTGAGGTCTTCTCAGACTCCTCTATGCTGGATAAATAATAAAACCTGATTGGATGGTTTGCCACAACCAAACGTTGGTACGTCCAGATTCTTCACCACACAATGTGCCCCCCTTTTCTCGACTACAGTCACTGTTCCATATTAAACTGCTATCTAAATGGGGAGTTGGGTACCATCCTAGAGATTAAACTTGTCTGTGGTCCTGTAGGGTGGCATATATGTTCGGTCTATGGCTATCTTCCTAACCTGCTCTATCAATATAGGGGGCGTTCAATTCTACACAAATGATTCTCTCCTCAAGACTGTTGATTGGATGGTTTTAATTCCTCCCCCCCTACCCCGTATGACATCACTTGATGGGGCCATGTGACCTTGCTTTTTATGCCAACTGAACTGTGGATCCTTTTTGAATTGCATATCCAGTGAAGCTTTATACAGTATGCATAACGCTACATATGAGGCGATAGAAGATTCACATACAAGACCGGTGGAGTGTTTTCTAAAAGCAGGTCTGAAAGAAGGAGTGTTGTTATAGAATCAGTTTTTCCTTTTCGATCACAATGACTGATTATATGGGGGGGGGGGGGGAGTAGCAGACAGCGCAGCACTTCTTTATGACTTTGAAGACCTGATGCCGTTCTCTCCTGCCAGTTTACATAGTTTTTCCCTGACTGACGGTATTCCTCTCCATTGCAAAGATGTTGATCCACCACAGTGTGACTGGAGAGAATCCTGTATGCTCTCTCTCTCTCTCCATTGGTTGGTTTCTCTGCGTGAGAAGACCTTTGTATGCCTCCAATGCTACCTTAACAAATGCAATGTATGATGACATGTTTTTTTTGGGGCATTTGGAAAAGGCTAAAAGACAGGGTAAACTGTTCAACTTGGTGGACAATAAAATAGTTTTGGATGTAAAATGAACTACACCAACAGCGCTGTCTAGTGGTGTGTGTGTGTGTGTGTGTGTGTGTGTGTGTGTGTGTGTGTGTGTGTGTGTGTGTGTGTGTGTGTGTGTGTGTGTGTGTGTGTGTGTGTGTGTGTGTGTGTGTGGCTAGAGACTATTAAATGCGACGTCACGTTCACCACCGGGAGATGGAGGCCTACTGGAATAGAGAGAGAAACGTTGACAAGTGGTGTTCCCCAAGCAGCTGATGACCCTGTAGCTAGCTTATCTATTCTGTAGAAAAGACGTGTCCAGCAGGGAACCGTTGGATCTATTCTGTAGAAAAGACGTGTCCAGCAGGGAACCGTTGGATCTATTCTGTAGAAAAGACGTGTCCAGCAGGGAACCGTCGGATCTATTCTGTAGAAAAGACGTGTCCAGCAGGGAACCGTCGGATCTATTCTGTAGAAAAGACGTGTCCAGCAGGGAACCGTCGGATCTATTCTGTAGAAAAGACGTGTCCAGCAGGGAACCGTTGGATCTATTCTGTAGAAAAGACGTGTCCAGCAGGGGAACCGTTGGATCTATTCTGTAGAAAAGACGTGTCCAGCAGGTAACCATCTATTTTGCGGCAGGTGGCCTAGCGCTTAAGAGCGTTGGGCCAGTAACCAAAAAGGCAAGGCACTTAACCCTAATTGCTTCTGTACGGTCTCTGGATAAGAGCGTCTGCTGAATGACCACACTAGAAAGAATGATAGGAGAACTAGGCCTGGGTTGAAACAGTGGTTTCAATTCTCATTTACAATGATGACCCTGGGGGGGGGGGGGGGGGAGAGAGAGAGAGAGAGAGAGACTAATGGCCACTTGGTGAGAGAGTGGGAGAGCGAGATTGAATAGCAGGGAAGAGGCAGTCTGTAGCGTGTTCCAAACGGCACCCTATTCCCTATATAGTGCACTACTTTTGACCGCAGCTCTATAGGCCCTAGTCAAAAGTAGTGCACTATAAAGGCAATAGGGTGCCGTTTGGGATGTACCCTCTGTGATACTACCTCTCCTTGCTCTGCAGTGGTGTGACTGAGCCAGCATTCCATGCTGTTACCATAGGGACACTAATGAAAAAGCTGCTTTAAATGTGAGGGCTAACTCAGCAGAATGTGAATTTTTTTAAATTTATTTTTAATTTAACCTTTATTTAACTAGGCAAGTCAGTTCAGAACAAAATCTTATTTACAATGACGGCCAAACCCGGACGACACTGGGCCAATTGTTCGCCGCCCTATGGGACTCCCAATCACGGCCGGTTGTGATACAGCCTGGAATCGAACCAGGGGGTCTGTAGTGACGCCTCAAGCACTGAGATGCAGTGCCTTAGACCGCTGCGCCACTCGGGAGTTGAATAACTGAGTGTCCATCCTAGGGCTCCCAACACTAAATCACATATAACTGAGTGTCCATCCTAGGGCTCCCAACACTAAATCACATATAACTGAGTGTCCATCCTAGGGCTCCCAACACTAAATCACATATAACTGAGTGTCCATCCTAGGGCTCCCAACACTAAATCACCTATTCTGGTTTTGACATCAGCACTATAGCAAAGTGATTAATGTTTTACTGTCTGGTCACACATGGCCAAGAAGAACGGAAATAAGTTGTTTAGAGGAACGTCAGATTGAGGGTATTCGGTTAATTTTAAAACCAGGGTTGTGTTAGTGAAGCAGAAAACAAGACTAAACAGGGAGGCGATATCTAAAACATACCCAGAGGGGCAGAGCCTACCCTTTAAAGAAAAGCATTATGCGTTGTGAACTAAAGACTCTCATAAAAAGAGATGATTAGTCTATAGACCTTGCTTTTCAATTAATACATTAATTTAAAGGGAGACTGTGAAATGACGTGACCACGAGCAGTGATGGAACTACAGATGTTGTCAAGAAGAGGCTAATCAAATCTAATTTTATTTGTCACGAGCCATATACAACAAGTGTGTAGACCTTACCGTGAAATGCTCACTTAACAGTTATACACGTGCAAGAAAGATCGCTTGTGATCGTTGCGTGACAACAAACGTAATCGCTCCACGGTGCACATCCATATCGCTGAGCCTACCTTTATAATGGTTGAAAACGGCCATTGAATACTATGCCACACCCACTTCGAGGGGCCACACCCTCTTAGCTCAGACCACACCTACAACACACAATAACCACACCCACAACACGCTATTTGGTATGCTTTGTAATTTTAATTCCCATAATTTCATTTGTTTTTTAAAATGCAGACAATTTTTTCCATTTCACAAACAAAAAAAAATTAAACATTACAGTACAATTATTACTAGTCTTAGTTGAAGCCCAGGCTTGGAGGAGGGACTGATTATCAAACGGTTAAACAGCGAAGCAGTATAAAGACGACATCGAGCAGTAGACAGCTAGCGCTCCCTAGTGGACAAAGTGAGGACTGGAACCATTCCATCCTCGGGAGCAGCAGCAGTGATAGCCTGGAAATCCAACCTGAATTCAGCTCCCTTTGTTACAACAGTGTAGCGTGATTCAGTCTGGCTTTCTGGGCTAAAGCAACAGCGCCACCCTGTGGGGAGACAGTACCATTACACCCATCCAGCCTGAGAAGAACAGTGCCTCTACAGAGAGACACAGTGGCGCTGTCACACCTTCACAACAAAACAGCTTTGTCTATTATTACACGTTCAGAAAATAAACCTTGTCACATTCTGTTCCGTTACCGCAGAACGCCCGAGAGTGTCTGGCTGTCTGTTATCACACATCGGCATGGTAACAACACAGGAGGCTGCTGAGGGGAGGACAGCTCATAATAATGGCCGGAACGGCGGAAATGCAATGGCATCAAACACCTGGAAACCCTGTGTTTGATGTATATGATACCATTCCACTGATTCCGCTCCAGTCATTACCACGAGCCCGTTCTCCCCAAATAAAGGTGCCACAGACCTCCTGTGGGTAACAAACTGTCAAACTCCCAATTGGCGACTACACCAGTCATTGGTTATTGTTTTTGATTGATTGATTGATGATCGGTAGCTAATATTGATTGATCAAAATGCAGTCCCTCTCTACCTTGAGCAGTGCATCCCTGTCAGCCTATCAGGACTGAGAATGTATGGGGGGGGGGAAAAAAAGCATGACCAGGTGAGTTCCAAAGGGGGGGTCAATCTATGGAAGCAGATGAATGCCAACATGTTGGCAGGAATAAACCTTCACGGCCCCCCCCCAGAGCAACTCGCTGCTTGTCACAGGAAAAGGAATATGAGCTGCTAGTGGCAGTCACCTCGCCTCGGCAACGAACCCATTTCAGATCATCTAAACATCTCCCGTCCACAGACCTATTCTGAGAGGAGCTGATTTGAGATCAGCCCTTAGTGTTACCAGAGTAAGCTCTGCCCTTGGTGATACAGGTCTCAGGCCTGATGTTAACTTATTGGTCAGACATGGGATGGTCAAACTGTGTAATATAGGTGACCCCAATCTGGTAGCTCATCAAAGCGGTATAGGGAAACAAAATTACAAAGTGTTTTTATCTAAAATAAAAATGGTCATTTAAAAGTCTGATCTATAAATCGGCAACTGACACGCCGTCTGACGTAAGGAGAGAGAGAGAGCGCTGGGTTAGAGTCGAAACCGTGGCCAATCGC